CATGTATCCTACCAAAGGGATCGTACTGCCAGCTATGGCCCTCTCCCCAGCAAGTCTACTGTACAGTTATGGTCGCCTTACGTAACGCACACCGTAGACAGTCTGCCTCGTCGAGCTCTAACTCCCTAAGACTTTACAGAGCTCGACTTAGGCGCTGATGAGCCCTTAGCTCACCTACCCACCGAAAACGCGATTTACGGTCGGTACGACAGTATACTAAGTCCGTATGGTCGACGCGCTATCCGTCCGTTCGAGGGAACCGCCCGATGTTCGAAGCTCAAGCGTCAATGTTCGGAACCCTTAGCGGCGAAGTCACACGGTTTAGAAGAGTCACTACATTGGTAGGACTACGGGCAAGTACACGGCTAGGTCAAACTAACTAGTGACGGCCTCGGCAACTCTCGTATCTGTGGCCTCGACTTCCACACCCATGACCACCACCCCTACCCCTACGAACAGACGGACCGGTGTCGGAGCCACGGTCAGTGTTGACGCGCTCGAGCAGGCTTTCGAGCAATCCGACAAGGGTGCCGTGCGAGCGGCGCTGGTCGACTGCGATGTTGTGAATCGCTCGACCCATGGACTCGAGGTTGTCGGGCAGCTGGCGGAAGTCGGAAAGGATCAACGACTCGCGCTGATACTGTGGGTTCGCGAGAGGACGACACTCGGCCTGGTTGACTTGTTCGAGCAGCACCAAGGTCTCGGACCAGGCGATCGTAGGGTAGGGCGAACCTAGGATATCTCCCTGGTTGCCATCGCGGTGAAAGACCTCGTCGAGGTAACACATCAACTCGTCGATCTCGGGGAACGACCTGGGAGCAGGAAGCGTATCGTTCGCTAGCAGGATAGCCCGGCTACGGGACTCGAACAAGAAGCGCTGTTTGAAGGTCGGTACGATGGTTCGAAGGATAGTCAATGTTCGGAGGCACGTACGATCATCCAGCGGACTCCGTGGGCCCAAGCCAGCCACTCTCCGGGACTGTTGGCATCGTATCGCGGTTCGACAAGTCCCTCGGTCTTGAGGACTTCGAGGAGGCGATAGTAGCGGGCAGCATACGCTTCGGAAGTTGGGTCGAGGTGCGGCATGTTCGTGTAAGTCAGGCGAACTCCTGCGGCTGTCTCATATCTTCGAGGACTGTCACCGGCTCCGGTTATGACCTTCGCCGTTCGGGGGACGGTCGCCCGTTATTCGGAACTTGCGGAAGGCCGAGTTGGATTCTCTCATGTGTTAGTAGGTCCGGGTCGAGCGTTGTGACATTCTCCGATTGGCTGCTTTCCTTATCACTTTCATTCATCATGTCTTGTATTTCTCTTGGCTCTCTTGGTCTTCGGACCGTATTTTCCTGTATATACTCTGGGACTGGTTCCCTCCGAATCTCAGAGACCCCCTTACCCTCTCAATCTCACCTCGCACCGGCGAGGTTCGTCAGTCAGCCAGTACGTTCGAAGTCAGCAAGTTCGCCAGTCAGTCAGTACGTTCGAAGCCAGTCAGTCAGTTCGCCAGTACGTTCGCCAGCTCGTAGTTGCCCCGAGAGGCTCTACACTTCTTCTCCTGCCGTCGCTAGTCTTCCTTGTCACCGTTCGTTCGACACGTCTGTCGAAACCCTCCCTCCTACCTTCGAGGCTTAACCCTCGTCTTCGAACAGTCTTCGACATCTTCGAAGCTCTCCCACGTCGTTCGGAGTCTTGTCCGTCCTCCTCCTTCTTACCTAGACCACTGTACAGTCCCCCGTACATCTCATAGACGCAGAGGCCTCGCATACCACTGCTCGACCTCACGGTTGGGTTTTTGTGTGGCTTTAGTGTTCTTTTCGGTCGCGTCAGCACATTGCAGCCAACACACCTCTATTGTGCTGACAAAGCACAATAAAATGAGTAAGCACTGCTGAATATCACGGACTGGATCTAGGTGCTCAGCTGACTTTGATCTGACTTTGGATATTCAGCCACTGGTCTCCCTCATGTGCACACGCACCACCATGTCACTGCAAACCACACTCCATCCACACTCAACCACAGCTATGCCACTCTCCCATGACATACTGTTTGACATGTCTTCTTGCTGAGACATGTGGGGTGAGGTCACTGAGGGGGAGAGTGTCTTAGTGTGTTATTACTAAACCTTCTGAGACTTCCTACAACAGCATACAATGTCTGCACAACACTATCCTGAAGTGGCACCTTGCCAAAAAGATCTTTAGCAATCGATCTTGAACACTTGTGATTTCCCCTGCATCTACAACACTCACATCCATCATCACAACATAACACCGCAAGACTAAGACACAGGCATATCTTGAACAGCACTTGTATATTGTGCGCTGCCTTTTGTAAGTTGCACAATATCATCACCACACTCACACTGACTCTTCATGAGTTGAGTTGAGTTTACAATCTGACCATGGCCACAGTCAATGTGTACTCTCCGACAAGCTTGCATCAGATTGTCACTGAGTCAATGAACAAGGACATAGTGAAAATGAGCACAGTGAAAGGCCCTCAAATGGAGCTCCGGGGCTCATCACCGACAATGTACTATGTAGGGCATACCTCCATAATATTGATCTCAACAACTTGACAACTTCCAAGCAGCAACCTAATATTGACCCAGACCCCAAATATTCAGCACCAGACACTGGTGGGTTCATCAAGGGAGGCGGCGAGGCCAATGATTCTGTCCACTGGCTGGAAGCAGAGGGATGAGGCGCTGATAAAGAGGGTTAAAGCTCAGTGGTATATGTTCATTCTGGAGGATTGTGCTGAACCCCAGCACTGCGTCAAGATACAGCGCAAGCACAGGGACTGAGTGATATGGAAGTATGGTGTGGTGCATCATTGATATTCTGTCTGAGTTGCTGGCTCATCACTCACACTTTGGCAGCTGATCCAGCACGTATTGTATTGTATACCAGCTGGGCTCAGTGGAGATCATAGCATGTGATTTTGCACTTCGCAGGTACCAGGCAGTGATCACCACCCCAGAGTTCATCAGAGACATCCAAATCACATGTCAGAAGCCCCAAGATCACTGGAATAGACACAGCTATCATACAGAGAGTTAGAGCCGGGCTAGGTGGTGGCAGTAGTAATGGTGGGAGTTCCCTGTTTAGCAGAGGTTGACCTGTCTGATAGCTGGAGAAAACTCAGACACCGCCAGGGTGGCAAACCACATTAAGAGGCTCAGCACAGATGGCCCCAACAAATATGTTTAGACAATCTCACAGATTTGCTGATTAGTACAACGGGCCAGTGAGTGCGTCAGTAAGTACTAAGTGTGGTTCAGATCACAGCAAGCTCTGGAGATATCATTGGCAGAGTGTAGATGTGGATAGATATGATATGATAATGACATCTGATTGGCACCCCCACTGTGGCATGCACTGACACATACCCATCTCTGAGAGCCCTGGACCTGCTCCCAGCTATAACAGGACCAGCTGCAAAGGCAGTAAATTTTTCCACAATCTCCCTGACAGCAGGGATGTCCATGACAATGGTGTGGGAGACAGTTGGTTTGAGTGGTTGCCCAACACCAAAGTGCATGAAGGTATCATACAGAGCAAGCCTTGTAGGAGGCTCATTTCCCTGCTCATGTTATAGTCATTGATATGTATGAGAGATTGAAGTGCTCTACCCACTTGTTGTGGGTAATAATGGACCTTGCTAGAACCCAGTGCATCCATAAGTTGTGGTCAATCACACCTCCCTGAGTGGTAATGCTGGCTTGAAGGGCAGTTTATGAGGCACAGGCCTGCAGTTGCACCATGATGAGGATTGGTTCCTCCACTTTACCCTCATCCTGCCTCTGTCCCCACCAATTCAGCATGGCCCTCCAAAAGGTGAGGGTCTTGCCCAATTACATTGGAAAAGGTTGTGAGAATTGCTGGCAGAGTGCTTGGAAGGGATCAGGCACCTACTGTTAGTGTTAAAGGGAAGAGATATTAGCATAATACTGTACTGTTCATGGTTCATCTACCTGGTGCTGTACTCGTTAGGCTGGCTGCTAAAGAACACTACCTTATTCATCATTGCGACTTACAAGTGGGAACAAAGGTCCTCCTTGAGGCTGCACTTGCACAGGATTGCCTCCTGGCTGATGAAAAACTTAATTCAGCATGACATTAATTTTATAAATCCTGAACTAGCCTGAGCAAGACCATTCATAGTGACAGTGGCAGTGAATGGTGCAGTAGCTGTGATTGTGAGCCAGGCTGGCCTGTAGTGCATTGCAGGGGTATAGCCCCAGATACTTGACCTGGTACCCTTACCCTTACCCTCAAGGGTATGATACCCCTCTCAAAGGTAAGGGTATGTCAAGGGTACACAAGAGTACAAGGGTAGGGGGTATATACAAGGGTATATGTCAAAATGTTACACAACTGTCAAGTTTGTGGCAAAAACGGATATGCATACAAAGCAACAACTGTTAACTACTACTAATGAGCACTATGTCCCCAGACATCCTCAGGATCCTCATCATCTTTGTCAGCAACAGACTGTACAGTGATTGACAGGATATCTGTACCAGATATTCCTGTTATGGTATATGTTTGTCATTGGATGCTTGAGAGCTTGTATGGTGTGCCTGGACTTGTTGTGGGCCAATTATGCAACAAGACAATGCTCAGTCAAGAGTATTATAAGTCGAAGGGCATGCCTGATTGTATGAGAAAGGTGTGTGCTCATGTCTTGCAACTAGCATAGTAATACTGATCTTTCAGCAGCGTAAACGAGAAAAAAAACTCCAACCACACACCCCTCCTAGGGTGGGTGATCCGATCGGGTGTGCTGTTGAGAAGCAGGATACTCCAAGTTGCTTGAAGCCAGACAACAATATCTTGAAAGTGTGGCAAGCCACAAGAGCCCAAGACCCATGCAAGCCTCTGTTGGCTGCAGTGTGCCTCAGAGCAATTCCAAAGGCAAGTCGAGCTCTGTAAAGTCTTCTATATTCAGGAATCAGAGATACACACCTAAGTCGAGCTCTGTAAAGTCTTAGGGAGTTAGAGCTCGACGAGGCGGACTGTCTATGGTGTGCGTTACGTAAGGCGACCATAACTGTACAGTAGAAACAGCCACAAAGTCGAAATCAACAAAGCAGTGAAAAATCGGATGAGTGCAGGGGTTCAAATCCCTGAAAATGCAAACATTATGGAAACAGTAGACTGAAGGGAATGACGTCGGAAAAGATACAGCAGGCACGGTATAGTAATGGTGTCCATGTCGAATAAAGGAGAACACACCAGGACGCGTTCCACGACTTGGACAGGGCAATGGAGCTCAGAATAATTCGCAGAAATGCGGAATAAATTCCGAGCTCAACAGTGCCATCTCAAATGAAAGAATTTGCTCAAATGCATGTGGGATCTATGATTCTGAGTCTACGCATAAGCGACACTAAACCTTTATCGTATATTGCAGTATGCAGTACTTACCGAGAGAATATCCCAAAAGATCTCCAGAGCCTTCCATTCTGCATCACTGAGCTTGTATTTGCGCAGCTCCTCGAAGTCATTCTGATTGAGGAACTTGTCTACCACCTACAGGTTCCACTGTGAGTGACTTGATGATAGCTGGCAAAGTCCACTTACATTGTGGAGCTCCAGTGCATGGTTGATCATCAGCAGTGTTGATGACCAGCGAGTGACAACATCACGAAGGAGCCGGAGATCTTGTTTGTCCAATGTCTTGAGAATGGCCGAGAGGTAGTCCCGCTGAATATTTGAGGCTTGTATCTGAGCAAGACACAATGATTGAGCTCCACAGCAACAAGGTGAACATCTACTACTGTGACATACCCCTTGTATCAGTGATCGTAGTGCAGCTATGGGATCGCACCGTAAAGCATCTGAAAATGTTCTCGATGGTAGACCTTTGGGAGCAATAGCATACCTGGGCTTGGCATATAGGTCCATGAGAATGGCCTCCCCACCTGATGATACCCACAATTGAAAATACAAGCAGGGCCTGCATCCAGTCCATCCCCGTGAGGCCCCACTTGTAGCTTCCATACTAATGCCCTCCCCAGCCATGGGTGTAGTACAAGATCTCTGCAGCTTACATAGCTTGATTCATTTGTTATGACTATCAGCTAGGGTGCTTCTCATGAGGCACAATAATATACCCACAGTTCAGTGCCCACACAACTAATGATAGCAATATTTGTAATGCATCATGCAGATGTTAGAGTAGTTGAGTTGCCCATACTGTAGCTTACATAATCAGCCACTCGTGTACATTGTGCATTTGTGCGCTATATGATCCCTTGCTTTCCGCTGTCATTTCCACTGTGTTTTGGTCACCACCTTGACAGCAGAGGCCCTGAATGATACACTAGAGCTATTTGTGTATTATTTCAGGACTCTAAGGAAAGAGACTCATGTGTTGCTCTAGGTGCCTTACCAGAATTATGTCCCCTACCCCTGGGTTTTTAAAGGGGGCCCAGCACAATGAAGATGAGGAGTTTTACCAACAACTGACTCAGGTCTACCCAAATCCACTGGCCCAGGGCTGCAAAGGGGCAGGGAGGGTGACAAGGTCTGCTGCCAGGTGCCTGTCACAGGGTGGATTACACAGGGAGCTGCAAGGTTACAACTTGGTCTAGGATATTGTGTGCTAGCCATTACATCTGCATGTTAAGTGTGGACCATAAACATAGAGACACAAAAAGAAGGAAAAATAAGAAAAATAAGTGTGAGTCACACTCGCGTTACGTCACATACGTCACGCGCTGTCATCCCGACTCAGACGCGCTCTGCCACCGACGCGTCCAATGTGACACTGACGGCGATGTGGACGCTCGCAGGCCCTTTCGACTGCGACGAGCGCGACATTCCCACCTACACAAGTGCGTGACCGGGCTGCGTATAGATGACTACTAATCACACAGCTGCAGAACGGAAACTCCTCAAGAGCGGTGTCAAGTACGTCGTCGGCCGCAAAGAGCTCGACGATGCCGCGACCTTCGTCATCAAGCAGAAGAAGATCTCTCGCCACCACTTCGTCCTCAATGTTATAGATGAACCCAACGCAGATTCGGTCAGTCCACACGCTGCTTACCCCGGTCCATCCCGCACTCATCCACTCACCAGACCAACCCGAACTACCGACCAAAGCTGACTATCGTGAACCCGTCCGCGGAGGGTAAGAGGAACGTCGCACGCAGGATGGACAAGGCGAGCGGTGCTCCCCCTGCAACCCTCAACCCGGACGAGATCGTAGACGTCGACGATGGCGATGTCGTACACGTTATATTGAACATCCGCATGTCGTGCGTCGCCAGGCCTGTCATGCTTCGTCCATTACCTGACACCCGACCCTCAGTGCGCATTGGGTGCCAGTGGCCTGCCTCGCCCCTCCTACTCGGGGCATCCCACCTCCCGATCCTTCGACCTACACCTCACTAGGTAAGCCCGACATTCTCGTGGAGACGCTAGTCTCACGGTGTACTCACAGGCATCTGCGTCCGGCCAACATCCCACCCCGACGTCACCCACCACCTCTCGTCCACCATAAACCTCTCGCCCGAGCTAGCCCTCTCCCTGCTCTCCCTCACCAACATTGTCACCCCTGAGTGGCTGGCCGACCTCCTCAAAGCCGGTCGCGCACAGAAGCCGGGCGCGTTCTGCGCGCTCGAGGAGACCTTCCTTCTCCCTCTCGCGGAAAAGTACCGCCCTGTGTTCTCGCAGACCCTCCCGCCCGCGCTCAAGACGTCCAGCAAGTGGGCCCCGAATGAAGCGCGCGTCGGCATGTTCAGGGGCTGCCGCTTCATTTTCGTCGGCGAGAAGGGGCGGGAGGTACAGGAGGCGATGCGCGAGCTAGTGAAGCGCGGGGAGGGTGAGTATGAGTGCTTCGCGGTAGAGGCAGGTAGGGCGGGGTTGAGGAAGGTGCTCGCGAAAGGCAGGGCCAAGGGGAGGATATTAGTGTTGGTTGGAGAGGAGGACGCGCTTGTGCCTGCTGTCGGCAAGGACGGGTGGCAGGAACTAGTGGACGAGGCGAACAGGTGCAAAGTTTCTTCGTCCTTCCATGGTCGCTTCTTGAATGCTTTGCAGCTTCGAGATCAACTTCACCAGCCGCGAGAGGATTCTCCAAGCCGTCGTCGACGTTGATACATCTCTACTCAATCCCGACACCATACCCAATGAAGGTGGGCGACATTCGCCTGCTCATGCGCTGAACTGACATGCATGTACGACAGGTGGATCGCCACAAGCGAATCTCTCCCCACTCCCAGATGTGGTACCGAATACACACCCAGACGAACCGTCTATACCTCCCCCGACCAACGAGCGTGTGGTGCAGTCCCAGGAGCCCCAGCCGACGCGGAGCAGACTGCGCCGGCGGGTGGGCTCGCGCGCATCGTCTCGCGTGCCGTCGCCTCCGCCCGCTGCCCCTGCCCAGCCGGCGCCTGCGGAAGAGGCGCCATCGACAGAGCAGCCAAAGCGCAAGGTGAATGTTCTGTGCGTCGTGGGTCGTTGGTATGCTAAGAGAGGAGCGTCAGGGCTTGATTCGCAGAGCGGGTCGCTCGCGAGCGGCCGCTATTGACGATTCCTCTATGAATCTCGACAGCGATGGGACGCCCGCTCCCTCCTCGCAGGTCGCGCAGCCCCCGCCTGAGCCTGCGCGTGCCCCTAGTGTCGGTCCGGTACGTACCTCTCTTCCACTCTCCAGACGGCCTCGCTCACACGGGCGTTAGGAACCCACGCCGGCACGCAGCCGCCTGAAGCGCCGCGCAGGCACGCACGCTGCCACGTCGGACATCATAGACCTGACGGCGGACGCTCCCGCGCCCGAGCCGCCGCTGAAGAAATTCCGCGCACTCTTCGAGCAGAGCGACCCCGACCGCGTCACGCAGTCCGGCAGCCTCCAGACGCAGCTGGACAGTGTGACGGAGAGCGAGTCCATGCTGACGCAGGTGGCCGGAGGGGCGACGCGGCTTGCGGCTGTGGCGGAAGAGGAGGAGGAGAGTGCGCGTGGGGTCACGCAGGGCGCGGGTCCGAGTGCGGGGACACAGGCCCAGAGCCAAGGCGTGAAGAGGAAGGGCAGGGCAGGGGACGAGGACGTGGAGATAGAGGATGAAGCTGCGCCAGCGAGCAAGCGGCGTGCAGTCGAGGGTGCGGACGCGGTGCAGCCGTCACAGACGCAAGCTGCTGCCAAGCCCCCGTCGCGCGCCGCGTCCAAGCCTCCGTCCAAGCCCAATCAGACCCAGAAGACCGAGAAAGCGTCGGGGGCGGCCCCGGGGAAGCCGGACATAGATGAGGCATTCCTCAAAGCGGTCGCCTCGACGAAGAAGGGCAAGCGCGCGGAGGACACGTTCGACCGCGAGTTCAATAACCTGCGGATCTCGAAGCCGGAGCTGGAGCAGGCGCAGGAGCGCGACGCGTGGGCCGTGCTGGACGAATTCGGGGATGATGGGGATCTGCGGGGCAACTTCATGGTTATCGTGGAGATGGAGGTGCACGAGAAGCCGCAAAGGCCGGCTTTGGTGAGAGGCGACGAAGAGAGGGCAGACTGGGCGGGTAGAGTGGATTTCAAGAAGTTCAAGAAGGTTTGTGCTTTGTGTTGGTCATCTGGTCCTTGCTGACGCTTGGTGCGCAGAAATCGATTGCAGGGAGGAAACCGGCTGTCGAGGTCTATGCCGATGACGAGAACGATTACGACATAAGCTCGCGTACGCTGTCTCCAGCTCATTGTGTTGTTCGAGTATTGACTAGCTCGCAGAACTGTGGAAGGGCTCTCAAGCACGTTCCCAGTTGGCGTCTCAATCGCAGTCGCAATCACAGGAGACCCATAAGCCAGAGTCGACACAGAATCGGAGGCAGAAGACGCAAACGCAGACGCAAAAGACTCAGAGCGGCAAGGCGAAGGCGAAAGCAATCGTTCTCGACGACTCCGACGAGGATGCTATGCCACCGCCTCCGACCCAGCCCGCCAAGTCTCAAAGGAAAGCCCCAAGCCGTGCCGGCTCCGCTCTACCTCGAGCAAAGACGCATAAGACCCAGCCACTGTTTATCGAATCCGACGAAGAGGAGGCGGGGCCAATGTCACAGACTATGGCGGACGATGACGACTTTGACGCGATCAAGGACGCCGATGAATTGGACATGGACGATGATGTGTCTACGCTGCGTTCAAGCGGGCGAGGGACGCAGAGCCGTGTTACCCGCGGAACGAAGAAGGGTGGCGCATCGAAGGCTACGGCACCTGTGATATTGGACGATGATTCCGATGATGAGGCTGCATATGTGGGCTTTGCATCGCGGAAGAATACACGAAGGAGATAGGTGTTAACGGCTGCTCGTTTGGGTGCGCAAATGAACCATGCCGGTGCATTGAAGGCATGCAGCGCTGGGGGACGAAGGCTCAGGCCCAGGGCGAATGTAATAAACCATCGTAATGCTGGCTGTGACAACTTGGAAGGTTCAATGTAGAGTCGATGCAGCGTAGATGGCATTTGCGTAGCCTCGATATAGTACACTAGGCCACTCATAGATCTAGCTTTGTCTTTGCCAAGTTTCGCTATCCACGTGTACTGACACCATGTCCACAAGTAATTTGGTTTCAGTCCAGCTGTTGCACAGACCAGCTATAATTTGGAACATTCTACATTTGCAATACATGGCTACTTGATCTGCTCACGCCAATCGGTCCCCCTCCCTCCTACAAGCCACGCCAGCCCCTACGTCGTCTTGATCTTCATATGCACGCTCTTCGCCCTCGTGAGCTGGTCATACCCTGCACCCGCACATCAGCATCCCCGCACAGTCCTGTCACACCACAAGCCTCGCACGACTCACCGAACTTGCTCAAGCTGACGCCGCGCCCGCTGTCCTTCACGCCCGTCCACGCGAGCGCAGGGTCCAGCGCGTCGCACCTGTCGCCCACGACTCAGCGCACGAACCAACCAACAGCCGATGGAGGGAAGAAACGGGAAACGGGACGCGCACCGGTTCAGGAAGACGGTCCCCGTGAAGAGCTCGTCCGTGATCCGGAGGAACGCGGCCTCGGACTCGGGGTGCGCCGCGGCGTCGGTCCAGACGGAGGCTGTGAGCCCGTAGGGCGAGTCGTTCATGAGCGTGACTGCCTCTTCGTCGGAGGATACCTGCGGCGCGAATGGGCGGTGAGCCAAGGCATGAAAGCGCGGCAAGGGGGAGGAGGCGGCCGGACCTTCATTATGCCGATGACGGGTCCGAAGGTCTCTTCCTATGAGAGAGGACGTGCGTTGAGCGCGTTGGAAGAGCACGGTTGGGGAGGGACTGACCATCATGACGTCCATCGCTGCGAAAAAAAAAATTACGTTGAGCGCACAGGCCTGCTAGGGTAACCAACGAAAGACAGGCGCACAGTGATCAACGTCGACCAGCACCTGCGGCGCGACATACGCCGTGCCCCTTCACCGTCCGCGCGATCAGTCCAAGCACGGTCTTACTCCAAAACACTCACGGCTGCGCGGTGGCAAACAAGTCCTCCGGAATGAGCGCCTTCGCACCTGCTTTCACTACGTAGCCGTGAGCGTGAACATGCAGTACGCGGGAACTCGGTTGAGCGGGGAAAGGACGTACCGGCGTCCGCGACCTGCTTGCGGATCTTCTCCGCGCTCGCGACGCTGACGACAGGGCCGAGGTTCGTCCCCGGCAGTGTCGGGTCACCAAGCTTGTATCCCTGTATGGAAGTGAATGTCCAATGAGTAGGACGAAGGGGGGACGGAAGAGAAGAGGGCGGGAAAGAGCCTTCGCGAGGAAGCGCACCTTCACAAGCTCGACGAACTTCGCGACGAAGGGTTCGTAGATCGATTCGTGGACGTATATGCGCTATAAACGGATGAGATGGGCTGCACGACAGTCGCGGGACGCCGTTGGCGAATGCTTACCTCGACGGCACAGCAGGACTGGCCCGAGTTGAACATCGCGCCTGGTATATGCGCGGTCAAGTCAACACACCAGGCGTACCAGCAGAAGGGAAGCACGTACCGTCTACCAGCTCGGCGGCCGTGTAGTCGAGCTGCGCATCCGCGCGCACGTACGCCGGATCCTTTCCACCGAGCTACACCCCCACATGTCCTTCGTCACCGACACGTCTCCCAATGACCCACGCGAAGTCGACGCACCTCAAGACCAACACCCTTGAATCCCGCGCCCGCCGCCGCCTGCGCGACCGCCTTCCCGCCGACGACGCTCCCCGTGAAGCTGACAAAGTCGACCTTCGGGTGTGTCACGGCAAACGCGGCGAGCTCCGGCGAGAGGTGGGCGACCTGGAGGAGGTCCTGGGGGAGCCCGGCGCGCGACCAGGCGAGGGCGAAGCGCTCGGCGGTGAGCGGGGTCTGGGGCGACGGTTTGAGGATGACGGAGTTGCCGGCGACGAGGGCGGGCAGGACGGAGTTGATGGAGGTGAGGTAGGGGTAGCTGTGGTAGAAGTGGAGGTCAGGAGGTCTGGGAAGGAACGCATGAGGGTGAGACGCACTTCCAGGGAGCGATGACGAGGACGACGCCCATGGGGGCACGCTTGATGTACCGCCGGAAGCCAGGCTTGTCGGTGTCGGCGAGAGAGACGTCGGCGAGGCTGGACTCTGCGATGGAGAGCATGTATGCGGCGCGGTCGAGGGTGCCCCGGACCTCCCCGGGTACTTGGGAGACGGGACTATGGATTGCACGAGCGCAATCTCAGCGGCGAGGCAAGACAGGGAGGCGAGGAACGTACCGGCCCATCTGCACTGTGAGCTCCAAGGAGATCTCCTCGCCCATGGCCTTGAACTCATCCTGCAAAGGCATCCACGCACTTAGACGGTGCTACATTCGCATTCCCGTACCACGTACGCACCATGAACTTCGTCGCAATAGCGATCCTCTCCTTCAGCGGCACACGAGCCCACTGCTTCTGGGCAACCTCAGAGCGTTCGATGACATTGTTGAGCGCGGACTGGGACGGATATGTGCGGGTGACGAGAGGGTGCTGGGTGTGGGGGCTGATGGTCGTCTGGGACTCGGGCGCGGACATGGCGGTGGCGGATGAACGCGTGCTGAGAGCAGATCGCGATCACGGACGACTCGTACATTCTCAATCTCAGATCACCCTCCCCGCTACACCCGGGCCGGCTCCAGTCGTTCAGCAACATCGCTCGTGTGCGTACTTGTGGCACCCAATCTCATGTCCAGGCATCCTGGTGTACGATAAGCTGAGGAGCATGGTTCTGGATGGCGGGAACGCGACGCTACTTGGCGGCGGACAGCACAGAGGTGGGACAGGCGCCTTCAACGCATTCAAAAGTGTGTTCTACGCGCATGACTCCGCAGCTGAGTACTACGCCTCACTTTGGAATGCCCGCAGGTCGTTGGCGCGACAGGACGATCTCGATAGGTCAGAGGATATGCCCCATCTCTATGCCGACACTGAATCCTCCCACAAATTCATTGACGTAGTCGACGCGAGGTCCGGTTTTTGAAGCCAAGAAGTAATCGAGAACGCCGCAAGCTCTGGGGCGCCAGAATACACAGTCACATTGGCTTGCAACTTGAGCACGCCCAAATGGCCCACCACAATCTAAACGGGAGGCTGTGTTCCGTATCATCGCATAGCACGGCCGAGTCCTTGCTGAGAGACACTCCGCCCACAAAACGGAAACCCCGCTCCAGAGCTGTGATGCGCCTTTTTGAGATGGTAGTCCGCCTACAGATCCGAGCATTAGTCAGTCTACTGGCCGTAGTGATGCGTCATCGGCTCACCTTGCCTTGGTAAGCATGGATTGTCGGGCTCGAGTATGAGACGATTAACTTACCAGAACCCACACGGTATTGCGTGGCTTGCGCTCGCCAGAGCCGCGTCCTCGTCTATGCGCGGCGTGACGCACCGTTCCCTCCCAGTCTGTCCAATGTTACGCCAAACCCACGGTGTCTTGATATGCACGTCTGCGATAGACATGGAACGCAGCCTACTAATTTTCCATCATGATGTGCTACTTCAAGACCTACTGATTACTCTTCATAGATCGCCCGTATTCCGGGCCACGACCGAGTAGCAAGTCAGAGCCCGCGCACGCTCAAGCAGAGCACAGACTCAGAGCAGAGAAGTGAGGGGGTTTGAAATGAAAGAACTTCAACTCAGAATGGACCAGCGTGTCGGTCACGTGGGCGCGACCCGTATCGAGCGGAACCCTTGGATTTTCGAAGATCAGAGGCTGGAGGAGGTTTGGTAAGTTCGGCAAGTGTCTTCCTGGTGCATCTTTCTGTATGTACTCACCGTCGACAGCAAGGCAAGGACTGGATAATCTGCAGCGTACAAGTTGTGTGCCGCCTGAGCGGTTCACTCAAGGTTCACTTCGGCTGAGTTGCCAATCAATATCGTTATGCTGGCCCCCACTCTCCTCCGACTCGTCGTTCCTCGTTCCCACTTAGTCACCATGACGCACACACCCTTCTCGGCATATATCAGTGCCCGAATGTGACAACACTTATTGGCAGTTGACCTCAACCCGCATCTCCTCCACCCACTATCCTGCGCGTCGTACTAGCCCCCGTCTAACATCCAAATGTCTGTCGCAAAGAAGTCTATGCCATATGGTGCGTATCCTGTGCTCTGTTGGTGTATTCCGCTGCAGTACCTGACGCGTCCGATGTCGACAGTCCGCCTGGGCAAGTCTGGCCTGAAGGTGTCGAAGATCATCCTGGGATGTATGTCGTACGGCCACAAGGGCTGGAGAGAATGGGTCATTGACGATCAGGAGGAGGTCAGCAAGCACATAAAATACGCGTGAGCCCTTCACTTGACCCGCTGCATCGCGCCCTTCGACGAACGCGGACGACAGCTACGACCACGGCATCCAGACCTTCGATACGGCAAATGTACGTCCATTCTTTGCGCATCTCGCGCATACCTACGGGTGACGCGGACTCGCTCTCAAGATGTACTCGAACGGCTGCTCCGAGGTCATGCTCGGCAAGGCCATCAAGGAGCTCGAGCTGCCCCGCGAGGAGCTCGTCATTCTCACCAAGGTCAGCCCATCCCCTCACAGGCCCATCGCTCCGCTCAGGCGACGATGCGCAGGTGTGGCATCCACTCGCGCCAAAATTCGGCATGGACGTGACGCTAGCGAGTGCGGCGGACCACGGTATCATCAACCAGAAGGGTCTGAACCGCAAGGTGCGTTCGATCGTTCGGGGTTGCTTAGACGGTGCGCGTATAATGACATGGTGTGCTTCCAGCATATCTTCGACTCCATCAAGAACAGCCTCGAGCGTCTGCAGCTCGACTACGTCGACGTACTCCAGTGTATGTCTCGAGTCGCGGCAAACTGCTTGGATTCTTTGATGTTGACATATGCTCCTTCCAGGCCATCGTTTCGACTACGATACACCGATCGAGGAAACGGTCCGTGAATGTCTGTTAGCCGATCCGAACCCACTCTGACCCTCCGCAGATGCAAGCCCTCCACGACGTCGTGCAAGCCGGGTACGCCCGATACATCGGCATGAGCTCGTGCCACGCCTACCAGTGTACGTATCCGTGCTGACAGCACCTCATACTGCAATGCTGACGAAACTCACAGTCCACGCCATGCAGAGTGCGCACCCCCGCCTTACTTTCAAAAAGAACACATCTCGACGCTGACACCGTACTCGCGCCGACAGACTACGCCATCCAGAACAAGCTCACACCGTTCATCTCCATGCAGAACCACCACAGCCTCGTCTACCGCGAGGAAGAGCGCGAGATGTTCCCCACACTCAAGGTGCCGTCTCCCCGCGCCGGCTCTCCTACATCCCTCCGGTCTGACCGTCTACGTAGATGTTCGGCGTCGGCGCGATCCCGTGGTCGCCCCTCGGCCGCGGCATCCTCACCCGCCCGCTCTCCGCGCAGACGAAGCGCGGCGAGACCGACGCGTCAGTACCGCCCCTCCGCCCTGCAGTCGCGCGTGCTCATCTGGCCCTCCTGCAGCGCCGCGGGCCCGTAGAAGACGTGGGCGGGCACCGCCGACGTCGTCACCCGGTACGTCTCTCCGCCGCGGACATGCTGTTCCTTGCTGATGCGGGCATGCAGGGTGGAGGAGCTCGCGGGCAAGAAGGGGGTGAGCATGGCGCAGGTCGCGCTTGCGTGGAGCTTGGCGAGGGACGGTGAGTGCGCGTGGAGTCGGGCGGCGCGTTCGTGGTGTTGATGTGGACGCGCGTTCTGCGCTGCAGACGTGTCGGCGCCGATCGTGGGCACGACGAGCCTCAAGAACCTCGAGGAGCTCATCGGTGCGCCCCAGTCCCCGTCTGCGTCTGCGTCTCTGAGGTGCTGACGGTGCTTGACGGACAGACGCGCTGGACGTCGAGCTGACTCCGGACGAGATCAAGTACCTCGAGGAGGCATACAAGCCGATCGCAGTGTATGGCCACTCGTAAGCGATAGTGGAACGCGCGGGCGTGGGGCAAAGATGCGTGCGACGCGCAGACGAGTGTGGTTTCCTCGCAAAATGGGTAGTATGGAGTCCAGGCATGTGTCATGCATGGTACAGTAGGAAGTATGACTCACATGTGTACGATAGTGATAGCAACTCGCAAAATGGAAGCATGGATTACACTGCGTCCCACTGGATGTGCCTGCGGCGGTCCCACTGTGTATATCTTTCACCTGATCAGATCGACGATATGATTCAAGTACGTCGTAGTGCTGCTAGTGATGGAACTAGTGGAGGGTGGTATCAGGTGGCTGTCTGCACAGGTAAGCCGCCATTTCGTCTGCCAATTTGCTATGCCGATCTGATCCAATCGAGCAAGTTGACTTACAAGGTTATGTTGATGCCGCGACCTGAATCTATTAGCAGTACACAACAGGCATTCTATACAACGGCACTGCACGGCAATGTTGTCGCGTCCACCGTTCTCAAGCTGCTGCTCCCCATCTACAGCTCAGATCGCCTGACGACGTCGCTCTCCTGCGGAGTGAAGGTAGGTTCCGCGCGGAAGCCCAACAGGTACTCCATAATTTGGTATGCAGCCTGCGCCGGTTGCAATCAGGTCCGCTCAGCATCGCTCTACAGATTTGCACTCACCGCTGGAGAGAACTCGGGTACCATATGCCCGCTCAGCTCGACCTCGAAGTAGGCCAGGCCGCGCTCGTAGTGGGCCGTGCCCAGTGCACCGACGCCATCAACGATGAAGCTGTCATTTGCGATAGGTGTTTGGAATCCCTGCATACCGTTCCCTGCGCAGACCATGTCACATCAACATCAGCTTTGCCCCCCGCACAACCAGAGGACTCACAAGTCATACTACCATCGCGCCCCACACCCCATCAGCCGACCGCGCACAGCACAACATAGCAACACAAGGCACCACTCACTTCTGCAGCGCGATCCGCGTGCCCTCGCTGATCAGCACGAAGTCCGCGAGGCCGTGCACGACCACCGCCCGCGCGCTCTTCTCGATCACGTTCGGGAGCACGCTGAACACGGGCGGGAGGCTATTATCGCCGTCGGGGAACACGTCCACATCGGAGCACTCCGCCCAGGCGACGTCCGCGGGCGCGTGGATCGCCGCCTTCACGTCCGCGCGGTCGAAGTAGAGCGGCGCGAGCTGCGTCTGCGGGAAGGACCCCGGGAAGCCGAGCACGTCCCACAGGATCGGCCACTGCCCGTGAGTTAAGTAAGACGGGCCGGGTCAGCGCGTCTGGACGGAAGGGGGCGGCGGCGGGTGGAGACGCACCGTGTCGAAGATGCGGTAGATGTTGAACGCGGGGTTGACGTCGAGCGCCGCGGCGAAGATCGCGTCCCACACGTCGCACCCGGCGTCGGCCTCGACGCTCGTGCCCGGCAGGGGCAGCAGCCCGGTGGGCGGATAGGCGAGGTACTTGTCCGTGTAGTCCGCGTAGTTGCAGGCGGCGGCCTGCGCGTCGAGCGTGTCCATGAACGTCTCGTTGAACGCGAAGACGTTCCGGTACTTGTGCACGAAGCTCACGGCGGGGATCTGCTCTTGGACGACGTCCCACGAGAGCGAGGCTGCGCAAACCCGTCAGAGGTGTGTGGGTGACGGATCGGACATGGAAGAAGGTACGGACGATCGGAGATCCAGAAGCCTTTGAGGTCGAGGTCGAGAGCGTCGGGGTGCTCGTAGATGTAGTTGGCGGTGTCTGCAAGTAGGTATCTGAGACTACAGGCTCGTGCAGATCAACTCAGAAGCACTCACAAGGAACGTAGGTCCCGGCATACTTCGATCACCGTCAGCACTGAAATTGAACGAGAAGCCACGGCGACAGCACCCACACTCTCCCCGGTAGTGTAGAAGTTCTTCCCCTTCAGCTCGGAGAAGACCTCGAGGAACTGGTGCAGGAAGCCAACGAGCTGCTCAGCCAGTTGGTCTTCATTCTGCCGACGAGCTCGATGAGATCGCCTCGATCAACAATGCGGAGACGCCGCACCTCGATATCTGGCGTGCCCTGGGAGAAACCCGTCCCGACCGGCTGGTCGATATACAGGATACTCGAGAGGTTCGTCCAGCTATAGTCGTTCGGCGTAGGTTTCGCTTGTCCGTGAGACCACTGGATCGGCTGTGCCAGGTCAACGGGATCCGTCAATCGACAATATCATAAGAATCACGAACGAGGACGCACCCCGTTCTCTTGCAGGAGGCCCTCTAGGGACGAGCATCCGGGGCCTCCGTTGATCCTGGGAAGAGGTTGTTGAACGATCGCGGGATGCATAAGGAGAACCCTACGTACCACATGATGAGGTCATCGAGACTGCCTTGCGGACCAGGCGGGAAGAACCAGAAGAACAGCTACGCGGCAAGCTCAACTCACCGACGCAAGCCGTAGCACGTCCAGCACCACACTTACCTGACGCGTCTCATCGGTCTTGTTGCTAATCGGCAGCAAGCCCGCCCAGCTCGGGCCAATGTCCCAATCGACCAACGGGATAGCCGAGCCATTCACCCAGAACTCTGCACGCACCTCAGACCCAGATTCACGCGCATATATGCCATGTGAGTAGAGACTGTGACGCACCTGACGCCTTCGGGTTAGAGAAGGTAATGTTCTTGACGGTGCCCGGACCACCCGCGACCGCGTCGGCTCGTGGCGGGACGGCCCACTTCCTCGCAGCCTGCTCTTGGTATGCGCGAAGCTTGTGCATCGGCATCATCTTCTTCGCATCGACGCCCGCCGCTGCACCGAGCGCCGCGAGCGCGAGCACTGCACGCGACATCGCAGAGAGCCTCATGGCGGCAGGTGTGTCCCTCAGCTCGAGTAGCGTCCGTGCCTCAGAGATGAGTGCGACAGGGATGACAAGGGGCGAGGGGGAATAGACGGACCTTCGAGACGCACTTGAGCTTTATATATACTGCACATTCGCACACGGGGGCGGACACCCCGAGCCACCCGACGCGACGCTTCGGGGGTGATGGGGGTCGGTGGCGGATGCGTCAATTGGCAGCGTGGCGACCGGGGAGAAGCACCAGGAAGCAGCACGCCCGCGACGGTTCCTCGGAGGAACGCACAGAACCTGCATTCATTACGCCGCACGAGGCCGGTCTCGGGCGATGTTTCAGGCGGCCTTCGCTGCTATCTCCACTGGAGTAGTAGCCTCGCATCCTCGTAGCAGTACTAGTAGAGCGCAAGTAGAGTGCATACTTTGACCATTCTGACCCCCGCGGCCATGCTCGGATCAACCCCGACGCAGCTCGGAGCCAACACTTCATCCTGCCAGGCCGAGGCCGGGACAGGAGCATATGCAACGCGGAAATGAAGTGTCCGCATGCATCGTACTCAGAGTGAGAAGAAGTCCGACGCCAGAGGTTCCGAGACTGAGAACCCGGACACAACGCACATGGCGTAGAACGGTCAACAAACAGAGCCACCCATCGATGATCATTTATTCAATGTGCATGGCAGGGCGAGGAAATATCGCATGCGCTCACACTCCCCGCACATGGCCCGACGCAAATCAGCCCTTCGGCTTCCCTCCACTGGCAGACGTCCCCCGACTTGTAGAACTCTGCGTCGCTGCTCTCTCACTGACTTCCATCGCATGCCCCGTGTGAAGCACGCGTCTTCGAGACGCGTACTTACACACCAAGCCGCGTGTCGCCCTCTGGCGGGCTCGAGATGGACAAGAATAGGCCCAAGCAGTTTGAGAACGAGATGAAACAAAGATGGAATGGATATTGATGTAAAGGCCGTCCGAGGCGCCATAAAGCAGCCCCTGGCCGCACATACTGGGTGGCAGCGGACGATATGCCACGGCTGGGATACGCAATGCCTCCATTCCCTGCGTGCTCAGCTCGCAAACTGCATGCCGATCTGCTTGCCTGGGTGGTTGGAAGACAATCACGTAGCCTGTAGCCTGAAGGACGTGGTGAGCGATGTAGGATCTAGCAGCGTCACGCACATGATGCTTGTCAAGGCGAACGGGCAGTCTCGCGCTATGGGCTCAAGGGTATCAATACCTTTCAACGCTCACAGCGGTGGTACGACATACCTGGGTACTACATGTCAAGTTGGGAGCTATTGGGAGGGATCAGGGAGGGACACATCCCCGGTACCTGCGGAACTGTGTCCGAGTACCGCGGACGCGCGTTGGCACGGTCACGTTGCCGCGACGCAGACCGTGCAAGCGCCGACAGCCGCTTCAACCTGAGACTCGTGAAGCTCAGTGCGGGATACGACCATCCACAGCTAGCAGATTGACGCAATGCTACATTCGAACCACGCGTTCGACGCCACGACAGTACAATGAGCCGCTACAATCACCAGACATCCATGAATATCGATACGGAGCATTCACCTGGAGAACGAGGAGACCAGTCGGGACAGCGAGGAGCCTAGTCCGTTTCGGAGTCACGATCAGCCTCGGAAACCTCCTCAGCCTCAGCCTCAGCCTCCGCCTCCGCCTCCGCCTCTGCTTCCACAGCCGCGCGATAGATATCATCCTCGATGTAGATGTCCGCCTCCCCCTCCATGGTCGACCCTTGATGGCACGCCGCCGCGTGCTTCCACCTGTCACACCGCGCACCGCGAGCTGCAGTCAGCGCACACAAAAGTGGACGGCGTCAGCGTACCAGTGTATCTCCTTGACCTGCGCCAGACAGTCAGCAATCCCGACACCGAGACGAGCGAACGGCGGCGCGCACCTTCGTGGGGACGTCCTTGACGCCCTCAACGGCGACCCACTTTTTGCACCTGTGGCACTTGCCCTGCATGAGATGGGTCTTCTCGAGCTTGCCGACCGTCGTGCGCTGCACGGTCCGGAACGCGAGCGGGGGCGAGAACGGGCGGCCGGTCATCGCGGAGATGCCTAAAGGTGGGTTAGTCATTCACATCGCCATTTGAGTGACGAGTAAAGCGAGGGTACCGTGCGCGTATTGCATGTGGTAGCTGAGGTAGTGTCAGTTAAGAGGGTCAGCGGACAGTGCGTATGAGTGCTCTATTGTCGTGGTGAGATTCAATACGGAGAACAGGAGACGGACGTACCACTTGAACGCAGAGAACTTGGTAGAGAGCCAGAGCTTCTTGTCCTCGCCACCGCGACTCCTGCTCTCCATGCAGCACGGACATAGCCCGACCTGCGCGACAATGAAGACACAATCTACGCGCGGACGGGAGGCATACCTTCGTCGTGCCCCTCCCCTTCACGAAGCGAGGGGTGTACAGATCGAAGGCGTCGCGCGGCGGGTTGAAGGTAGCGTCGGAGAGGCCTTTGGTCTTCGCGTACCTGTGAAACGTCAAGCGGAATGGACAACGCGGCGTGGATCGGCCATCTTACTTGGAAACGTATTCCTCTTGGTACGAGCTCACCGCGAAGCGTCTGTAGAATAACGAAAATTCGGGGTCAATGGGGACCTGTGGAGGGAATGTGCGCTGAGGGATGAGGGCGTCTTCGTCCGCGGAAGGAGCCTGATTGTCTTGTTCGGGGCGTTCGGGTATGACACGTTCTCCAGAGTCGGGTCTTCGCCTCTTCCGAGCGGGGAGAACCAGAGACCGCTCGAGCTCGGTATCCTTCAAGGGTCTCTTGCGAGTACCAGAGGGGCGAGCCATCGTTGAAGTGGACGCAGCGGGCAGATGAGCAGAACGGTCCAGCCTTCGCGAACGAGTGTGATAGCGCAGACCGAGAGCCTCGCGCATAGCGCGCTTGTCGGCGCTGTCCATGACCTTAGATCTCGGTGCAGAAGCGGTAGTAGATGCAGCAGGGGGAGATGACTTTTCAGCAGTGGCAGCGCGTACGCGTACGGCGGGCGAGCCTTGGACAGAACAGGCGGGAGCACAGGGAGAGGTGGGCATCGACGAGAGCGCAGAAAGAGCGGGCGAGAGCAGTTCGGAGAGAGATGCGGAGGGACAGTCTGATTCGAGGGATGTCCTCCGGTCTTGGGCAGCCGTGTACGCGGCGAGAGACTGGATCTTGCTTGCAGGTGTGGCCACATAGGAGTTATGTCCGCTACTAGGTGTGGCTGGCTTGCGGGTTGCACTGCGAGAGAGCGAGCGGACGCCATAACGGTGGACCGGAGATACCGAGGAGCCGACGGCTGCCCAGAGCGCGCTAGGAGAAGAGAAGAGGGCCTGCAGCGGGGTGGAGGGAGACGAGCACGAGTTTGAGGCAAAGCCCGAGAGCTGACTGGACGGGAACCCGAGCGCAAAGGGAGGTGTCGAGGAGACCGCTTGCAGCGAGTCCTTGTACGGAGAGATGAGGTCGTTCCGCGAGGCCTCGTAGAGGTACGGGTCAGAGTCCCAGTCCACGAAGGAGTTCCGCAGGCCGGCAGTCTGGAACATGCCTGGTGAATAGCTGTACGCAGTCAAGGGCATGCTGGGTCTTGGGTTGGCGCAGGTCGCGTTGAAGGAGCTGTATGAGACGCCGTTTTGAGCCATGTTCGCGAGAGAATCGGCGGCTATATGCGCGTCGTTTCAGCCCTCAACGCGTCCTCTGTGCAATCAAAGCCAAGGAAAAGCAGAAGGATACCTTTGGGACGCCTAGGAGGGAGCAGGACGCGACGGGGAGATGGTGGTGGCTTGGAAGGAAGAGGCGCGTTGCGCGTTCCGCGCCTGATGCAGCCGCGCGCCCCCGATCACCAGGCTGGACAGTGACACGGACATTGCGCGCGACCTCGAACACCGCACTGAGCGTGCATGACACCGCATTGATTGCGGCCTGCCCATTCCGTCTCCCTGCAAGTCTCTCTCCTGCTCTCTCCCCGTCCTCCACACTCGCCCTTGTCGCTATGGACCAATGGACAAAGCTTCAGGCTGGACTTTCCGGCCTCAACATCGGCCAGTCCGCCAACAAGTTCGCAAAGGGCTTTAACACCACCGTCCAGGCGACCAAGGAGCGCATGGGCCAGGTCGCTGCGGACGACATCACCGAGCTCCCGCAAGGTCACCAGCATCTCGCCAGTTCGCGCACACCGATCGCTGATTCCACCTTGCACCCACAGAGTACAAAGACCTCGAGGCGCGGGTCGACAACCTCCGCCAAATCCACTACGCGCTGCTGAAGTACGTCCGTTCCGCGCGCCGCGCTCCTTCCACCAACACATGACCTGCCACACAGAGTAACGAAGGTCTACGAGAACGAGACGTACGACTACCCCACCCAGATCCAGGAGAGCATCACCGAGCTCGGGACGTCCATCGGCCAGGGGCTCACCAACTTCGCCGCCCACAACCTCAAGGGCGTGCCCGTCGCCGCCCCCGCCCCCGTCACGCCCCCCGCCGCACAGCACAAGACCCTCCCGCACGCCATCGGCCGCGCCGCCACGACCGCCGCGCAGACGCTCCAGGTGAGCCCCGCGGCCGGCGAGGAGAAGCTCCACACCGCGCTCGGCGCGTACGCCGGCGCATGGGAGAAGATCGCGGATGCGCGCGTGCAGCAAGACGAGTCGATCCGCGCGCAGTTCCTGCAGCCCTGGCAGACGACGCTCTCCACGAGTATCGCGGTCGCGATGAAGGCCCGCCAGGCCGTCCGCGGCAGCCGGCTCGAGCTTGACGCCGCGAAGCAGGTGTAAGTGCCCGGTGCTCTCAGGCGCGCGGGCGAGCGCGAAATTGACGTTAATTGACGTGTGTCCGCTAGGTTGAAGACTACGGGGCCGTCGAGACAAGAGGCTGCTCGGCTCGAAGTCGAGAACGCGGAGGATGACCTTGTCCAGAAGACCGAAGTCGCTATCACGCTGATGAAGGCGGTCCTCGACAACGTACGTTGCGCTTACCTCCTCCTACATTTTATGCGCCGCTGACCCTCGTGACCAGCCTGAACCACTGAAGGACCTCCACGAGCTCGCCAAGGCACAGCTCATCTACTACGCAACCGCCGCCGAGGCGCTCTCAACCGTCCAGGGTGAGCTCGAGGAGCTCAGCGTTGCTGCCGAAGGCGAGTACAGGTGCGTGTGTCCTCCGCGTCGCCGCTGCACACGCATGTACTGACTATCCGCTGCTCTGCAGGAAGTCGCGCGACCACTGATTCAGCAACGAACTGCGGATGCCTTCACGTTCACGATATTTATACCTGACTGCTCTGTTGTCTCATCTACCCGTCCTCCGTGTATGCTGCCCTGACAGACAATCTACCATTTTGCTCTCTGATGCACTGGCCCCGGCCTCGCCGCGCTTGTCCTCATTCGGATGCGTGGCGAGTGGTGGTACCTGGGAGTATTGTCAGTGTACACGTCTGCGAGCATCTACTGATGAACTACAGCTGAACCATGGGCAACGCCTGGTGCGTCTTTTGCGTTGTCGCCGACTTGGCTCCCTTTCCGGCACCGTCGCTCCTCGTCCTCTCTGTGCACTACTGCCCTTCTCGCGCTGTTCTCGTGCTGACCTCCGCCTGCGCTACGCTCATGCCCGCGACCGAGGCGAGTTCATAGACACCCCCGGCACCGCCCCTTCACGCTTCTTCGAGCCTACGCAGGTCCGTCTTCTTTGTGCATTCACTCAGAAAACCCGTCTTACTAGCTTTCATCTCTGACTTGCTTCCGCCTTCCCCCGCCCCGAACCCACCCCAAATCTCCAACCTGTGCATGCCCAGGCGATGCTCAAGCATCGTACCACCCTCCTCTCAACTTTCGGCGGCGAGTTTATGCACCGGACGGCTCGCTACACGCCGTTCTCTGCGGCGCTCTCCAACAAGCGCCCGCGGTCGCCCTCCACATTGTGTCTATCACCCGTCACCCCCTGATGTCTCTCTGCGCGACGTAAAGTGCGCTGCGCGCATCCTTCGACTGCGTGCGTCACCGCCATTACCCGTCATCATGCGTCCAACCACGGTACGCTCACCGTCAAGTCTCGGTAACAACTGACGACGACCGACATCTCACTCTTCCGATCTCGCGCGAATAGCACCGGCCGACGCGTATGCAACTCCCGTCAACGTGTCCTCGCTCACACGCGTACGGAAGACGGCACACGACCCGCGTAAACAGCACTCTGTACGACGACCGCCTGCGGTCTCCTGCCCGCGCGCAGGCATCTCGCAGCGGTGGACAGCGGTGCGCAACGGTGCGCTTTTCCTCGCGACGTGCAGGTGCCACGCCCAAATACATCGCGAGTCGCCCCGTGCGCTCCTACGTACGTACACCCACAACCCGTCTCCCCAACTACAAGCTCCTTGCACTCACTACACTAGACCTACATAGCATACGGACGAGTTCGCGCGTGTCGATTGCTCGTGCGACGCACCGTCTCTTCCCGCTCGCCATGACTCGCAGGCATCGACTAAGCTCGTCAGCCGCAAGTCCTCCTGACCCACGTGTCGGACGAACGGCTCCCGCATGGACGCTCTACAGTCACCCGTCGTCAGCGAACTCATCGACCGCCTGGACCTCAAGAGAGCTTACCTCTGCCCGTCCGCGCCGATACCGACAACCTCGACACCGTGCATAACGACCCGCACACGCAGCCCGTCGCCAAGGCGCGCTCACTCGGCGAGCGCGTCTTATCAGCAACGAGCACGAAGTCAGTACTCGCCCTTCAACTCGGTGGGAAAAGCAACTCACCGATGCTTTTTCTTGCCCGCAGCCCTCGCTTTTATACCTCGCTCGAGAGCTCGTCAGCGCGATGACAGCGGCCAAGTCGCCGTGGCTCTTCTGGGGCGCATCCTGCGCGACGTCCGCGGAAGCGAGCACGGTGCCACTTGGCATGGACGGCAGCCTCGTCCGTGTCACAGACGCAGACGTTCGGGCCCATGCTCGATGGCCCGGGCGTGCGGTACGTGCGCGTTGATCGGGCAGGGTCCGTGAACGTTCCTCGTTGACGGACGGATCCCGGAGGGTGCTTTGCGGGATGGGCAGGAGCCGGGCGTGACTTCGCGGTGAGTTGACTCGGATTCGTCTACCACGCAGCCCGCAAGCTGACGGCGCAAGGACATGTCCTGCATCTCTCAGGTGGACGACCGACGCAGTGTTGGGCAGGGCGATGCGAATGGGACGGGCTGCCGCGTCGTACGAGAGGTGCGGGCAATCTTTCTCCATGTCGCACGGCAGTTGCTCGTCGCGTCCAGTCCGCGAAGCAAGTCTTCGCTTCCGAGTCGTTCATGCGGCCGATCACTGGCGGTACGTCTCGCCGACCGGCCTCTTCCCTCCTCGAGCGAGACACGTCCGTCGGCGAATCGCCCTCAGCCCGCTCGTCAACGAGACCGTCCCCCGCGCCATGGGGGATGTACGAGGTGAGTGCCGTCGCGGTGCTTCTGGCGCTGATGTTCTGTCGCTTAGTGAACTGGAGGGTGTAGTGGGATGGCTCGGGGAGGATGCCAGGCAGGAGTTATGGTGTAGGAGGATGCCAAGCGCAGACGCAGAGAACGGCGCTGTGCAAATGCGAAACTACGGTGGTGGGAACGCGTCGCGCGGCGACGGACGTACGTCGACGCCGGCACAGTGTCTGCCTGCACGATCTGTCCACCGGTGCGATCCCCGCTGCGCAGACGACGGTTGCCGTGACGGACGACCGGCGTGTCGTGCGTGCTGCTCGAAGTAGGTACGGTGACCGTGTATGTAGTCTCGAGGAATAGATATATTTGAGCTATTCTACATGGCGGACGTGGACTGCAAGCGATGGTCAGAACCGTCGCAGCCTCTGCCTGAGAGATCTCGAGTCCAGACCGCGAAATGAAACATGACGAGAACCAGAGAAGTAGTATGTACACTGCACAGCGAATCCCGCAATGGTCATACCTTCGATACTGCCACGATCCATCCATCTCCCTCCCGCATAGCCTGTACGCTTCTTGTCAAGCCATTGGGCTCGTGCTGCGAGTCCCACGTCTGCAGACATTCGAGTGTCAGCGGGCCCAGACGAGAGGCCATGCACTCTGAGGTCGACTGAAGGAAAGGAACGACGCACCTGCACGGTGTGATCATGGTCCAGACGCATCCTGACCGAGTGATGCACGACATGCCTGCTCAACTGGTCACAGTGCCTTGCGCCGCCAGTGAAGCTTGAAAGCTCGCTTGACGTCTACAGAGACAGACCTGTCTCGCAAGGACATGAGGGGTGCGACGTGAAGTCTCTTGCCAGGGGCGCAAGGTACTGGTACTCAGCTCACTGATCGCAACTTGTGTCAGGTTGAGGCGGCGAGATGGGCAACTCACAGGATGGGATCCAGAAGCCTGGCTTATGGAGACGAGAAATCGACGTGAGAGGGACGCCAGTCCGACATCCGTCGACCGTCGACCGTTGCTCGTTTACTTGTACACCCGATCGCCTTCAATGCGTTCAATGAGCAGATCGGTCCGACGCAGAGCGTGAGCTGGTGATGTAGCATGGTGATAGAGCCGTCGAGGATGATAGACTTGAGATACTGAGGCACATGTACGGGCAAAAGGCGACTCGGAGAGCATCGGTGACGGCTCGTGGTCTATTCAGACAGGTATGGGTTGTCCCTGCGTGTTCTCCGTCCTGTCCTGAATGGAAGTCGAGCAAACGGCAGATCAGGTTGTGCAAGGCAGAACGATGTAACACACCGTACTGGGGGACAATGACACCGCTACATGAGGATGACAGCCTCGCCGGCCGCTTGGCTCTAAGTTTTGAATTGCACACGATTGTCTCGACTCACCGTAACTCAAGTATTGTGTAGTACGATAGTAGTCCGTCGCCGTTCAAGATCCCGAACAGTTACAAAGGATCGCTTCGAAGTCTGTCTGCGCGCGTTTGACCGGGCTGAGGAGTGTCGGTGTCGTCGAATGCGATGAGGCTGTTCAAGGAAGGTATCATGGCGATGCTCAGTGAAAAGTAGCTACGAGATCAATGTACTGGCAACGCACGAGAACATCATTGTCGTACGCTGATTCTCTCTCTCGTGAGCATAGTTGCTGTGCTTGCACAAACGCAGCACTCACCTTTCGAGCCGTTTTATATACACCTCAGCAGCATGATATCCTCTCCGGGATGCATGCTGTCGCACACTGGGATCTTCATGGCTCAATCGCACGACATGACTGCGTCGACTGGTATCGGATTCCCCCGGCAAACATGGTGCGAGTCGATGGTTAGACCTGGATAAGGATGGAACTGAGTCCGAGACCTTGATTCACGGACGCAGGAGAGCTGCTAGGTGACGAGGCAAGTAGGTGTGCGTGGGCGAGTCTTCCGCATTCACAGCTACGCGGCTGCGTCGTCGTCGCCCAATGTGCGAACTGGGCGTCGGGACTGTACAGCGCGGTCTTGTAGATCCGAGACTCACCGTTCCTTCCGGCCTACTTAGCGTGTGATCCAGCGAGATACCTGGGCAAAAGGCTCAGTCGGACCTTGTACTACATAGCAGTGATTCACTCGTGGATGTTCCACGACCCGGGCATGACATTGGATGCCCTCCGACAACGTAGAGTAGTCGGCTTTTCGCCGATGAGTCTGACTCACGAGTCCCCCTCACGCACCGGCCCATTCGTCGTCGATCGAGGGATCTGCAGGAAACACAGATCGAACAACAGACCGTACGAGGTCGGCGCGCAGAATCTGAGATTCGTCCGCAGAAAGCAGACATTCGATGCTAACATTCAGGGTCCAGGGCGGTCAAACATTCTACGGTCCCGAGAGCAGTGATGCATCTTCCATGACTGCACCCGCCCGCTCTGACCGTTCGCAGGTAAGCAGGGGTCGACGATCGGCATCGCCAAACAGACAAATTCCTAACGCTCACCATCAAGCGGCGCTGCTCGAGCCGGTAGTGAAGAAACCGTACGGAGAGAGTATGAGACAACCCCGTTAAACGTACAGCGTAAACACCCGGTCGGGGATTGAAGCCATGCTTCGTCCCGAGAGCGGATGCGAATAGCATTCTCGGCGAAACAGGCCTAGCCTGTCCGAGTGAGCATCAGCTCCCCAGACGTCGAGCATCGTGACCTGTCTGCACATGCACCAGGCCAGCGGTAGTGGGATTGCGCATGGGCCTTCTGTGTGCGATCAACAGTGGCTCACGAGCCAAGAATCACGAAATCTCGAGGTGAGTCGAAGACAGAATGAATATGCTGACGGCCTCATTCACACCTCGTCTCGACTCTTTCAAACTGTATCGGAGTCCGGACCAGTTGTGAATCGCACGATCCCCGTCGCGATCGACACGAGGTTGAGAATCGGAAGTGCCTGGTCTGTATCTTCTGTGCTCTCTGACCGTTGACGCGGTTGATGCGTTGACAGGAAGCAGAAATGAGCGGCCGAGATGCGGCTACGAGGACACACCGCGATGCTCCGCGATGTCTACTGCGCATTGAGCAACGCAGGACTCTCTGCGTCGAGCAGCTCGGAATTCAGACATGTGTTTGCACGATATATGTCCCCGTTACACGCAGGGCACAATGAATCTGCCCGCGGGGATAGGAATTGCTATTACAACAGAAAGGACATACCTGCAAGTGCCGTACGTCGCATTTCGCGTGCCTGTATGCTCCACGCTGCGGTACCGAGATTGCAAGCGGACCTTCGATGTGCGCGGACTTTCCTTTTGAAATCATCAGCAGCTCGTCGGCCAGCGAATGACAGAATCTCAGCTTGAACCCCGGTCGGAGTGAGGAGTCTCGTCTCGACTCTTTCGTTTTTGGCAAGCAGCGAGTAAACAACCGAGACAGTCGCGGGAAGCGAGCGTGGAAGTACCTGAGATTGAGCCCTACAGATGGCATCGGCCATCATGGCAAGTATACCATCGGGTCCGAGGTAATTGTAATGGCCCGTGAGACGGTGGCACTCGCTCAGCGAATCCGCCAGCGGTCCAGCAGCTATATCGACTTGTACATCCTTCCCAGTATTTGGGGCGGGTACTCACATCGATGTCACAGCAGACTTGGGGGCGGGAGGCGGTGGGATACCCGCTGGCCGCACTCGAGATCGCACGACGACGAAGTGCTCAGGGTCCCCCGATCGACGTGCAGAATGTGTAACACCATGTATACGGTGCAACCGAGTATTCGACGCACACGCACCATTCCGGGACGCACAAACACTGATTTCCCCTCGACAACCCTCGCCCTTGCCAGGAGAGCGTCGGAATCTGCATTGCGACCACACGGCCGGTACCGTGAGTCCTCCTTCTGACCTCTCGGGGTCGTATGCGTGGCGTGTGTCGAGAGGAAGCGTGCGCCTTCATAGGTGTGACAGGTGCATAGACTCACCGGGTTTATGACCACGATCAGTGCCCCTGCACTATGCGCTCCCCGGTCAACGAGCCATTCGATCGCAGCTAGTTTGACAGGATCTGTCGAGTTCAGAGGAAACGAGAGCGTGCGACGTAGAGCACGGGGAGTGTCTGTGAAGACCCGAGTCGGAAGCCCCGACTTCCAACTGCGCGCATACAGCCTGGCTGTCACAAAATGCGTAGAGCAGTAAGCACTTTAGCATACTAGTATCACGCGGTGCAGCGCAGGAACCGGGATGGAGAGCCAGCGAGCAGGAGAAGTTGGACGGCCCATTTGGAGTCCTCGTTGAACATCGCCGGCCTACAGAGTAAGTACTGTCCTTCGAGAACGCGGTAGGGGTTGTAGCCGGCTTGTCTAACCAGAGTAACGAGCCTAAGTTGATTGAAGTGCATAGTACAGATCCTGGAAGCATGGGTTGGAAGGTAGATCGAGCGCGAGTAAATGGATGAACGGGACAGAGCGTGATTGTGGCTGAAGGCAATTCGCGTGACGCGCGATCGGACTTCGACGTCAGGCTTCCTCTCTTACTGTCTGCGAAGCTGGCCCAGAACATGTGCGATCCTCTCTGGCACTCTTCGTCCACCATCCACTTCCTTCTCATGTCTTCATTCGACGAATGATACATCCTTCCCAATGTGTAATGATTCGTACTTGACTGCCAACATTCGACTCCGCTGTGTATGTCGACCCTGACCTGCAGTACCGTGAACAGCACCGGTCAGGTGCAAGGGAAACATGCGTGAGTCTCTCTCAATCCCAATTTGTTGACGCTCTAGGACACGACAAGCGAAGCATACGACAAGACAGTATTGTGCGCGAACCTACTACGTACCATGACCGTCTGGAACACCTCTCCTCCTCGACTGCCGAGAAACCTGCCGTGGAACACGTCTTCAGCAAGATCGAGGACGACCTCCAGGAACGCGGGCTTACCTGCTCCCAGCGCCGTGCATTCCGACGATGACGACGACGGCTGCTCGACACCGCGCTAGTGGACCCTGTGCCGAGTGACACGTTCACTGTATGCGGTCAATGTATGGTTAGTACTCTGACGACTCCTCGCCGCGGGGAGAAGTACAACTCACCAACACGCATTAATTCCCGCATCGCTTGTCTCTATATACCCGCAATGCTCTTCGGCTTAGTAGCAACGGCCAAGTTGCCGTCACCTTCCCTGGCGATGTCCGCGGAAGCGAACATAGCGTCACATCTGGCATGGACGTCAGCCACGTATGTCCGAACTTCGTTACGCCACAATGTTGCCACAATGTGCAAATTGCACCACTCGCTCGGGTATGTGATCTGCGAACATTTCCTGGGCGTAAGAGGGCGTAAGGAGTAGGGATCGTGTACCGTCATCTCGGACGCGGCTGCTACTCCTGGCATCCAGCATACAGGTCAATGCTTTCGACGATCAAATCGCCATGTTACGCACGCACACGGATCAGTGAAGCACCCCAATTGGGAATACTGTCCCCTCCATGTCTTCAGGAATACAATACTGCGGCTTACTCGCTTCCGGCCTATGCGGAGCCTCCAATTTGGGTGCACCTGCTTCCAGATGTGCTCCTTCCGAGCAGCCTATGTTTTGTGATGTCGATCCAACCCGCTGTCGACGTGATTTCAGCACGCGTCTGGCTAAAATAGCCATCAATTCCGGACCAATTGTCCAGAATTTCTCAGTGATTGCTCGGGATTGTCATCAATTCGATGAGGCGGCAATGAGCAAGACGAGTGATGTCTCGTCGGGAATGCGACAGCAGGGCCGAGAACTCTGCGAAGCTGACCACCAATTCAATGATCATGCTTGTGCAAATGACCAGTGGCACTTCGGTGAACAACTGGTACACCTTGTGTACTACTGTAGGTGGAGATCAAGCACATAGTGTTGCAAAGAATGAATACATCTCAGCTCTACTACCCTCGACGTGCATACGAGGCTAACATCAAGGCTCGAGTGCACCAAATCGTCTCCGCCCACATCAAGATGGTGTACCTGAGCCATGCTCAAGATCTATGAACAACAGCATTCAACACAGGGGGCATATGTACTCGTATCCCTCTGCATTTGAGCGTGAACATCGAGACAAGGAGAACAGATCTAAATCTGGCAAGGCCGACAAGAAGATCAAGTAAAATTGTGTACGGAGGGGATTGCCGTATTGGGGTGGCTACCGTCCTATGTCCTGCTTCCACGAACTGAGTTGATCGGCTCAACCGTGATCTGTGACAGAGTAACAGTGAGTAATCTATTCATTCAATCTGTGACTGACAAGAACTCGATGGGCTTACTGTGGCACGAGTACCTGCCCATCAAATTCTGAGACTGTTATGGAAGGTCAGCTATATCGGGCAAGCACCATTCACCGACAACAAGGGTGGCGAATTCGGCTCGGTAGGTAGGCAACTGAGAGGATGTCAGCACGAGATCGATGACAGTACATACTATGAACTCAAAGTGATCAGTATCCTCAAACCATTTCAGCCTCTGAGTCACAGATTGAGACTATTCCCTGAATATTCTCAGTTGGAATTCATACAGTGAGCCTGACGAGAGTTCAGTACTGACTGTGAGCACACGAGAGGAATGACATTTCATTTCAGAGGAAGCCCGCCGGCCGAGGAATGATTAGCTGATAGGACAGAATTTCGCATCCGAGGAGATGCTCCGAGTCAGTGGCACTGATATGCAATTGTGGCACAGTTAAGGCGAGCATCACGGTGAGTGGATTTTGTGCACATTACTGACATTCCACACGTGATTTGGGCATCAAGTATGTAGGAGCCGAGCAAGGCTGACTGAACTTCAAGTTATCAGTTAAAGGCCAGTAGGAGAGCGGACGTACCACTCCCGGCCCCCACTATGCTTCTCCTCTCACTCGCATGTGTCGATCACCCAGTACGTGTATGCATCAACTGTCTTCACCCGGCGTTCACTCACCACGGACACTCTCAGATCATCCTGATAATCTCCAGTGGCGGCCCCGGCGCAAGCTTCATCCAACAACTCAATCATACATATGGTCAGTATATCCCTCCCTTGTTATCGTGGTTGTACTTGTACTCACTGTTCTCGTTATTCCAGACAGTTGCCGAGTGAACGGTTACGTCGGGAGCAATCGCAGTGCGTAAGTGCGGGCACGAAATGCGCTGACTGTGAGTACCTTCCCGATATAGCAGTGGTCCACTAGATCAGGCGCTCATTGTCTCGTAGACACACCGGGTTGGTCGTGCCTCACGCTGCGCTGGCCTCACACGCGTCGGGAATCCAAGTCGACTTGGAGCTGGACGTATGTATGGTACGACGTCCGGCGAACACATTCCCAGTCAGATACTGTCTTACCCGGTCTGTCATTCCGCGGGATGGCAATGTATATACAGAACGCCGTCCGCCGAGCGATGTACCACGCCCACCATGCGGAAGGTCCGTAGTGAATCTCAATGATCTACGGCAATGCGCTGACGTAGTATGCTGTCCAGTATAGAACGCGCGAGGGCTCTTCTGTTCCAGTCCAGGCTTCTGTCCACGTCAACCGATCCAGGCTCCGGTCGCTGCGATGTATATGTGTATTGACTTTCGGCGATTGACATCTCAGGCCAAGGACAAGGTGCGACATCGACCAAGGTCTTGCGGTGCTCGGAACTACAATATATATATGGATCGACGTCCGGCGAGCGATGTCTTGGTGCGTCTACACTTGTGCCTCGTCCATACTATGGCTGATGTGATGTGTATGACAGGCTGGATGTCGTGTCCGTGTCCGCGCTCACGCAGCGCGCGAGCCACGAGCGTTTCCGTAGGCTCTTTGGGTGGGTTGAGTGTGTCAGACTCGCCGTGAACGTCGATGTATATACAGATCGACGTCCGGCGAGCGACGTCTGAGGCCAGGTGCGAGGTGCGTTGTCGTTCCGACATTGGTGTCCGTGTCGTTGACGTGACCTTCACAACAGGTCGGTGTCTACCGAGTTCGTGAGCAACAAGTCCTTCGTACCTTCAAGGACATTGAGCTCAAGGGCAATGAACAGTAGGTATAGGTACTCACCACTGCGCCTCGTGAAGGCCGGAACAGCAAAGTATGTATGCATCGACGTCCGGCGATCAACGTCTCGGGGCATGTACGGGGTGCATCGTCGATTAACCCTCGATGCTGACTTTGTGGTGCCCGGAACGGCGATGTATGTACATATTGACGTCCGACGAGCGACATCACGGGCTGTGCGCGAGGTATGTTGCCCATCACACACCGACACTACATCACTAACCCGACTCGGACGTGTCGTGTCGCCGCTGACATGCGCGTGCAGGATCGGGCCACACGGCGCACGAGCGCTGCCCTCCGTCGCTGCGAATGTCCACCGAGTTGTCGGCTCGTCGTGAACGTTGATGTATGTACAGATCGCCGTCCGACAAGCGGGCGATCGTGAGCGGTGAGCAGTCAGTCTTTTTCTCCTGGTTGGCCGACACTGACTTGGCGAGTATCCTAGGACGACTTTGCGCGACGGCAGTGTCCCGCGTCAGGTCGGGTGTAGCACTCAAGACGCGACAGCGGGCATCCGTCTACCGTTTACTGTTCGCGTCCCGCAGGCGGACGAGTTTGCGTTGTCTGGTGAGTTGCCTGCCGTGCATTTTTGCGTCAAGTGAATGGACATTGAACTCGTCGTGAACGGCGATGTGTGTATAGATCAGCGTCAGGCGACTTACTTCGAATGGTAAGCCCGAGCCAAGACACGTCGGCGAAGGCCCATCGCTCGCAACGGCCATCAGACTGCGTAGAGTCACAGGCCGCCGACTGGTACGTGCGATGTGCCTCGCAGTCGCTGAGTTGGTGAGTCCCTCATCGCGCATTGGCATGCGGCGTTTGCTGACAAATCGAGCAGACCGGGTCCGTGCGTCGCGACTACTTCGGGGTTTGACTGTATGTATGTACACGCGGGCGACGAGGGACACATAGGGGGAGGGCTACGCGTTGCAGCGCGCGAGGCGGAGAGAGGGGGCTTCTTTTTTTTGTTGACGAGCATGTACATACCGGGACCCGTTTGCGCGTGGCGTGAAAAAGTTGTGAGACCGGATAACACGCGAGCTCCCTGCGGGGAGGGGAAGCTATGGCCGAAAAATCGACGTTTTGGACTTGGGAAAACCGTCGTCTTTTTGCCCTCCAGCCAATCGCAGGCCCCGCACGTAAAACACCCACGCCCGCCGTGCGACGATCCCCGCCCGCTGCCCACGCCGCACTCCCACGCGCTTTTCCCACGAGCGACCGACGTCAGCGCCCCCGATGACGACGATGTGCATCCGTCCGACCACCAGCTCACTCCCCCGTGTCCGACCGCACTGAGCATGCATGACGCCGCATTGATGGCGGCCTGTCCATTCCGTTTCTCTCTCCTGCTCTCTCCCCGTCCTCCACACTCGCCCTTGTCGCCATGGACCAATGGACGACGCTCCAGGCTGGACTCTCCGGCCTCAACATCGGCCAGTCCGCCAACAAGTTCGCAAAGGGCTTCAACACCACCGTCCAGGCGACCAAGGAGCGCATGGGCCAGGTCGCTGCGGACGACATCACCGAGCTCCCGCAAGGTCACCAGCATCTCGCCAGTTCGCGCACACCGATCGCTGATTCCACCTTGCACCCACAGAGTACAAAGACCTCGAGGCGCGGGTCGACAACCTCCGCCAAATCCACTACGCGCTGCTGAAGTATGTCCGTTCCGCGCGCCGCGCTCCTTCCACCAACACATGACCTGCCACACAGAGTAACGAAGGTCTACGAGAACGAGACGTACGACTACCCCACCCAGATCCAGGAGAGCATCACCGAGCTCGGGACGTCCATCGGCCAGGGGCTCACCAACTTCGCCGCCCACAACCTCAAGGGCGTGCCCGTCGCCGCCCCCGCCCCCGTCACGCCCCCCGCCGCACAGCACAAGACCCTCCCGCACGCCATCGGCCGCGCCGCCACGACCGCCGCGCAGACGCTCCAGGTGAGCCCCGCGGCCGGCGAGGAGAAGCTCCACACCGCGCTCGGCGCGTACGCCGGCGCATGGGAGAAGATCGCGGATGCGCGCGTGCAGCAAGACGAGTCGATCCGCGCGCAGTTCCTGCAGCCCTGGCAGACGACGCTCTCCACGAGTATCGCGGTCGCGATGAAGGCCCGCCAGGCCGTCCGCGGCAGCCGGCTCGAGCTTGACGCCGCGAAGCAGGTGTAAGTGCCCGGTGCTCTCAGGCGCGCGGGCGAGCGCGAAATTGACGTTAATTGACGTGTGTCCGCTAGGTTGAAGACTACGGGGCCGTCGAGACAAGAGGCTGCTCGGCTCGAAGTCGAGAACGCGGAGGATGACCTTGTCCAGAAGACCGAAGTCGCTATCACGCTGATGAAGGCGGTCCTCGACAACGTACGTTGCGCTTACCTCCTCCTACATTTTATGCGCCGCTGACCCTCGTGACCAGCCTGAACCACTGAAGGACCTCCACGAGCTCGCCAAGGCACAGCTCATCTACTACGCAACCGCCGCCGAGGCGCTCTCAACCGTCCAGGGTGAGCTCGAGGAGCTCAGCGTTGCTGCCGAAGGCGAGTACAGGTGCGTGTGTCCTCCGCGTCGCCGCTGCACACGCATGTACTGACTATCCGCTGCTCTGCAGGAAGTCGCGCGACCACTGATTCAGCAACGAACTGCGGATGCCTTCACGTTCACGATATTTATACCTGACTGCTCTGTTGTCTCATCTACCCGTCCTCCGTGTATGCTGCCCTGACAGACAATCTACCATTTTGCTCTCTGATGCACTGGCCCCGGCCTCGCCGCGCTTGTCCTCATTCGGATGCGTGGCGAGTGGTGGTACCTGGGAGTATTGTCAGTGTACACGTCTGCGAGCATCTACTGATGAACTACAGCTGAACCATGGGCAACGCCTGGTGCGTCTTTTGCGTTGTCGCCGACTTGGCTCCCTTTCCGGCACCGTCGCTCCTCGTCCTCTCTGTGCACTACTGCCCTTCTCGCGCTGTTCTCGTGCTGACCTCCGCCTGCGCTACGCTCATGCCCGCGACCGAGGCGAGTTCATAGACACCCCCGGCACCGCCCCTTCACGCTTCTTCGAGCCTACGCAGGTCCGTCTTCTTTGTGCATTCACTCAGAAAACCCGTCTTACTAGCTTTCATCTCTGACTTGCTTCCGCCTTCCCCCGCCCCGAACCCACCCCAAATCTCCAACCTGTGCATGCCCAGGCGATGCTCAAGCATCGTACCACCCTCCTCTCAACTTTCGGCGGCGAGTTTATGCACCGGACGGCTCGCTACACGCCGTTCTCTGCGGCGCTCTCCAACAAGCGCCCGCGGTCGCCCTCCACATTGTGTCTATCACCCGTCACCCCCTGATGTCTCTCTGCGCGACGTAAAGTGCGCTGCGCGCATCCTTCGACTGCGTGCGTCACCGCCATTACCCGTCATCATGCGTCCAACCACGGTACGCTCACCGTCAAGTCTCGGTAACAACTGACGACGACCGACATCTCACTCTTCCGATCTCGCGCGAATAGCACCGGCCGACGCGTATGCAACTCCCGTCAACGTGTCCTCGCTCACACGCGTACGGAAGACGGCACACGACCCGCGTAAACAGCACTCTGTACGACGACCGCCTGCGGTCTCCTGCCCGCGCGCAGGCATCTCGCAGCGGTGGACAGCGGTGCGCAACGGTGCGCTTTTCCTCGCGACGTGCAGGTGCCACGCCCAAATACATCGCGAGTCGCCCCGTGCGCTCCTACGTACGTACACCCACAACCCGTCTCCCCAACTACAAGCTCCTTGCACTCACTACACTAGACCTACATAGCATACGGACGAGTTCGCGCGTGTCGATTGCTCGTGCGACGCACCGTCTCTTCCCGCTCGCCATGACTCGCAGGCATCGACTAAGCTCGTCAGCCGCAAGTCCTCCTGACCCACGTGTCGGACGAACGGCTCCCGCATGGACGCTCTACAGTCACCCGTCGTCAGCGAACTCATCGACCGCCTGGACCTCAAGAGAGCTTACCTCTGCCCGTCCGCGCCGATACCGACAACCTCGACACCGTGCATAACGACCCGCACACGCAGCCCGTCGCCAAGGCGCGCTCACTCGGCGAGCGCGTCTTATCAGCAACGAGCACGAAGTCAGTACTCGCCCTTCAACTCGGTGGGAAAAGCAACTCACCGATGCTTTTTCTTGCCCGCAGCCCTCGCTTTTATACCTCGCTCGAGAGCTCGTCAGCGCGATGACAGCGGCCAAGTCGCCGTGGCTCTTCTGGGGCGCATCCTGCGCGACGTCCGCGGAAGCGAGCACGGTGCCACTTGGCATGGACGGCAGCCTCGTCCGTGTCACAGACGCAGACGTTCGGGCCCATGCTCGATGGCCCGGGCGTGCGGTACGTGCGCGTTGATCGGGCAGGGTCCGTGAACGTTCCTCGTTGACGGACGGATCCCGGAGGGTGCTTTGCGGGATGGGCAGGAGCCGGGCGTGACTTCGCGGTGAGTTGACTCGGATTCGTCTACCACGCAGCCCGCAAGCTGACGGCGCAAGGACATGTCCTGCATCTCTCAGGTGGACGACCGACGCAGTGTTGGGCAGGGCGATGCGAATGGGACGGGCTGCCGCGTCGTACGAGAGGTGCGGGCAATCTTTCTCCATGTCGCACGGCAGTTGCTCGTCGCGTCCAGTCCGCGAAGCAAGTCTTCGCTTCCGAGTCGTTCATGCGGCCGATCACTGGCGGTACGTCTCGCCGACCGGCCTCTTCCCTCCTCGAGCGAGACACGTCCGTCGGCGAATCGCCCTCAGCCCGCTCGTCAACGAGACCGTCCCCCGCGCCATGGGGGATGTACGAGGTGAGTGCCGTCGCGGTGCTTCTGGCGCTGATGTTCTGTCGCTTAGTGAACTGGAGGGTGTAGTGGGATGGCTCGGGAGGATGCCAGGCAGGAGTTATGGTGTAGGAGGATGCCAAGCGCAGACGCAGAGAACGGCGCTGTGCAAATGCGAAACTACGGTGGTGGGAACGCGTCGCGCGGCGACGGACGTACGTCGACGCCGGCACAGTGTCTGCCTGCACGATCTGTCCACCGGTGCGATCCCCGCTGCGCAGACGACGGTTGCCGTGACGGACGACCGGCGTGTCGTGCGTGCTGCTCGAAGTAGGTACGGTGACCGTGTATGTAGTCTCGAGGAATAGATATATTTGAGCTATTCTACATGGCGGACGTGGACTGCAAGCGATGGTCAGAACCGTCGCAGCCTCTGCCTGAGAGATCTCGAGTCCAGACCGCGAAATGAAACATGACGAGAACCAGAGAAGTAGTATGTACACTGCACAGCGAATCCCGCAATGGTCATACCTTCGATACTGCCACGATCCATCCATCTCCCTCCCGCATAGCCTGTACGCTTCTTGTCAAGCCATTGGGCTCGTGCTGCGAGTCCCACGTCTGCAGACATTCGAGTGTCAGCGGGCCCAGACGAGAGGCCATGCACTCTGAGGTCGACTGAAGGAAAGGAACGACGCACCTGCACGGTGTGATCATGGTCCAGACGCATCCTGACCGAGTGATGCACGACATGCCTGCTCAACTGGTCACAGTGCCTTGCGCCGCCAGTGAAGCTTGAAAGCTCGCTTGACGTCTACAGAGACAGACCTGTCTCGCAAGGACATGAGGGGTGCGACGTGAAGTCTCTTGCCAGGGGCGCAAGGTACTGGTACTCAGCTCACTGATCGCAACTTGTGTCAGGTTGAGGCGGCGAGATGGGCAACTCACAGGATGGGATCCAGAAGCCTGGCTTATGGAGACGAGAAATCGACGTGAGAGGGACGCCAGTCCGACATCCGTCGACCGTCGACCGTTGCTCGTTTACTTGTACACCCGATCGCCTTCAATGCGTTCAATGAGCAGATCGGTCCGACGCAGAGCGTGAGCTGGTGATGTAGCATGGTGATAGAGCCGTCGAGGATGATAGACTTGAGATACTGAGGCACATGTACGGGCAAAAGGCGACTCGGAGAGCATCGGTGACGGCTCGTGGTCTATTCAGACAGGTATGGGTTGTCCCTGCGTGTTCTCCGTCCTGTCCTGAATGGAAGTCGAGCAAACGGCAGATCAGGTTGTGCAAGGCAGAACGATGTAACACACCGTACTGGGGGACAATGACACCGCTACATGAGGATGACAGCCTCGCCGGCCGCTTGGCTCTAAGTTTTGAATTGCACACGATTGTCTCGACTCACCGTAACTCAAGTATTGTGTAGTACGATAGTAGTCCGTCGCCGTTCAAGATCCCGAACAGTTACAACATCAGTAGAACGCACATTTTGCTAACCGATGCTAGCGACTGCTGACGCGCTGACCCATGCTAGCACCGGATCGTTAGAAATCGTCAGCGTGTCACGCATGTCAGCGTATTAGATAGATCTTCGCATTCAGGATCCAATTGGTTCATTTTATGCTAATGGGTAACATTCGTGCGCGTGGTAGTCTACGTATTTGTTGTAGTAGAACGAGCCAAAAGCTACATGAGAATACGAAAAATCAAAGTCCGTAGGTAAAGGAGCCCGACCGTAGAGAGGTGCGAGATGACATGCTCGGACAATACAGTCGGTATGAACAAGACCTACATCACGCTCGCCTCGAATTAGTCTGGGCTTCACCACCCACATGCCTGTAACACTATCAGGTTCGTCGCCAACAGGGAAAAACCACTCCACCAGTGCGCATGGGTAAGTGATTTCGTTGTGGGTAAAAGAAAGGAAGGCGAGCACTCGGCCAACCAACATGCCTCCCATGACGCCGTCCTCTGGACCATCTTGGATGAGCACAGTATCTCGCCGCTCGTATTCGCTGTACCAGTGTGGGTGGCTGCGAATCATTTCGCTGTGCATGCCGCCTAGACCGCAGAGTTCGCTCGGAGCGTAGAAGAACGCGCGCGCGCTGTGATAAATAGCAACATTGCCATAGAATTGGGGACAGTCATCGATATCCACGTCGTCAGGGTCTGAATCATCCGAGGCGTCTGGTGTTAGCTGGTCATGCAGAAGGCGGCGGATGAGCTCGGGAAGCAGTGCCTTGATGCGCGGAGGGAGGTCAAGTCGTGCGACTGAACGCGAACAGGCTGTATGCACCGTGATCAGTTCATTGTGCACGCACACCACTTCCGACTCTGTGAATAGTAACATACCTGGTCTCTTGGCTAGAACAATTGAGACAGGCTCCGGATCGCCATCAACGCCATCAACATCAGCAAAGTGCTGATTCTCCATTGCGTCGGCGGCGAGATCCTGGCCATTGTATCCCTCGTCGACGTTACCACCATCGTCGATATTGTGGGCGTTTTCATCGAACAATAGCTCTGGCTGTGCATCCCGTCGAGCAGCAGTCAGAACATCATCCTGAAGCATACCATGGCTGCCGAATTCCGACCGCGCGGCAGCAAGCTTGTTCAGCCGTGAGTTGACCTCGAGAATCTGGATCAATGGATTGTTCTTGTTGGTGGCGCGCCACGGCCGCTTGACAGCACGGATGTGCTTCGACTCAGTGATTGACGTGCACAGTCCATTTGGTGATCCAAAGAGGCGAATGCCACGTACAAAATGGGCCAACGCGTGCTGTCGAGGAAGTGCGAAGCTATTGCGTACATCCTCGTCACGAAAAACGCTGCGGAGCTCATGGAAGCGCCGCAGAGTATCTTCCATCTCTTGGAGAGAACGGGAGTCGTGAGAGGATCGGCGGGCGATGTAGCAGAAGTCTAGGAACGTGCGTACACATTGTACAACACGGTCGGGGACAATTCCGGTAATCGCAGGGATGAAGATCTGTCACAGGAATGGGTCAATGATAGCAATGAATCTGTTGAAGGGTACTTCTCACCTTCATCAACGCCTTGGAGTCGTCACCAGTCCACTGTTTGAAATTACGACCTTCCTTGAAACGGCGGAGGCCAGGGAAAGCGGGGACAGAGCGAAGTCTGAGGATTCAGGATCAGTTGCATCAGCAGCTAGTTGTCAGATCCTAGGATAATGACATGGCTCACCGGCGGTCGAGGTCGTCAATAAGGGCATTCGCCTCATGCGTCGAGTGATGTGTCTTGATGTATTCAAGAACCCACTCGACTAGGTGGTCCTTGAACGTACCCTTGATCACTTGATGGAGCAGATCGGGTGATAGGGCTTCGTGGATGTCTGCGCGCGGAAAGTGATCCGTGAAAGGCTGTACAACAGCTGTCATCAATCTCGCTATCTGAATCGACAAAAGGAATATTACCTTCACACCGGGAGCAATCCCAAATGCATCCCAGAGTACTTCCGGGTCATGTGCGTATGTGTCCTTGATGCACTGCGTCAAATCACGGAACCTTGGCTCCCCCGGTTCAAGCGAGTCTGTCGAGGCGAAACATCTATGGAAATCTGTGAGCTTTATGCTCCTCCAGCCTCGAGGTCAATTCCGTCCTGACTTACTTGGGACAATGTCCTTGGACAACTCCGGACAAGTAGACTTGCTCGGGATAATCAGCGATGAATGGCCCGAGTGAGTAGATCACTTTGCGATAGTGCCCATCAGGGCAGCGCGTGATGCGAGGCTCAGTCATGTATGGCTTCACTGGGTCGAAGACGCGGGCGAGTGCGGCATGGTAAATTTGCTTCTTGAAAACACGGAAGTCGGGATCGTTTTCGTCCTCATGTGAGCCTTGAGTGGCATTTAGCACTGTGACGAAGTAAAGAAAATTCGTCACACACCTTTCGGGATAGCAAGGAATGCTACAGGCAAGACGGCATTCTGGTGTCCACGGCGCACGTCATTGTGGAAGACACCTAGCGAAGCATAGACCGGATGAAACTCCTGGTTTCCGGTTGCGACGGACACGGTAGTCTTGTCCGCCCCAGCAATTATAGTTGCTAGCATGGATCCATGAGTCGATGGATCTGAAGCTATCTTGCTCTACAAACTCGTGTGAGTGATGGCCAATGACAGAGAACAAACCTGTAAGGCTACTGACCGATTCCTTCCAAGGCCAATGTCCAGACATGAACTCGGAGTACCGTCGCCCGCCTGGAGTAACAAACTCCTGATATGCAGCAGGATGGAACTTATGCTTGTACTCGCTTGTGTCAAGCATGTTCTCGAAGATCTGTAGAGGATTCTGGGCGTGAACGACATACTCGGCTCGCTTCCAAGCTGGTGAGTCGGGGGTAATGGGACCGTTCCAGCGCAACTTGAAGGAATACCATGGTGCATCACCCCACGGTATTGAGTCGATGGTTTTGAGCATATCTTTGTGAGCAGCGAAGACAGGATCTGTGCCCGTGTTATCAATGACATTCTTCGCCGCCCAGATACGAAGAAGTTGGTTGACGTCGTCTCTCGAGCAGAGCATCTTCTCGTAGACCAACTCAGCGAACTCGAATGACGGGCGATCTTCGAATGGTGCAAAGCCGTCAAGGGGCTCACGAGGTGGTGGAGGGGATCCATTTGGTAAGAAGATGCCGGATCTGTTGCAAGGACGACCTGGAACATCCAACTGACTCAGTGTATATCGAGTTGAAGCGTAGTAATGTGCATACCATTGATCCGCGGGTGGTAATACAACCTGGACTTCTGAGGTGATGCCTTGGGGTGCTTGTGCTCGCGGACATGACTACGAAATGAGCGGTGAGTGGGAAATGTACGATTCGAGCAAACAGCACAAGAGAACGCCATGGGAGATGAGACGAGAGGAGCAACGTAGCATCAGCGCACTGGGCGGTCTCGGAGTTCAAATCAGTTTCAAATGTGGACTGAAGCGTAGGGATCACTTCAAACCCTCTGTAATTACACTAGCCGAGGCTGGGAATAGACGGGACAGCAACGCGACCACGTCTGCCTGACTTCCGCCGACGTGTCTGTCCTACTGCAAGTTCTACCTGCACTTCTTTGTATTGCTGTCGCCGTACCATCCTGCGCTTCATCTCTAAATGTCTGAACGTGGACGCGGTCGCGGGTCAGGACGTGGGCGTGGATCAGGACGCGGGCGTGGACCTGGGCGCGGACGTGGGCGTGGAACAAACACGAGACGTACTGCCAGCACGGGTATCAGTCAGCTTGGGGGCAATGCAGATGAAGCTCTACTCACGTCAGACCTGTTGTCCACTACCCAGATTGTCGACGCTGTGAGTCCTAAATTCGATAATGAGTTGTCAGTCTTTAATCCAGGACATGTCAGTCGGCCCATACCACGGGTCAGCCCGAAGAAGCCGGAGACCCTGGGTTGTCGACACTTGCTGATAGCCTTCCCGAGTCTCCTTCACGCCCTGATCGTCCGGGGAAGAATCATCGTCCTGGTGTCTATGCAGGCCTCCGTAAGCGAACAAGGGAAGAGGTCGCAGAGGGTGCAGAGAAGAAACGCACTGTAAAACGGGCACAGGATGAAGAACGTGAAGCACTCATCCGCACACGAGCATCAAAAGAGGAGACTGGCAGGAAGAAAATTGCAGGACTCATGGACCGTCGTGCACAGGAGGACGAAGACGACGAAGCTGAGATGGCTGCAAGGGAGGAAGAGGTCGATGGTGGAAATGCAGAGGACGGCGGTGGTGGCGGAGATATCGATGATGATTGTGATGCTGTGATGATAGATGTGAGTCGCATGCTTTCCGGAGTTCTTGTTCTGAACTTACCTATCTCGAACGTGTCATGCGCACTTATAGGAACCGGCAAGGAAAACGCAACGTGAGAAGAGAAATGAGCGTGCCGGATCAGTTCTTGCAGCTATTGATACCCACCGGAATGTGGTGTCTTCTGTCCGTACTCCGGCGAAAGAGTCTGCGTAAGTCTCTACTAGTAGGCCCTCGAGTCAGTGCCTGAATGAGAACTTACTATCGTTAACTTAGCACTTCACTGCCGAAGCGGAACCCTCCCAAGACCACCAAAGACGCGGGTTTGGATGCCAACTGGCGCGAGAAGATCGCAGGACTTGCAACGAAGTCTAGCCCTGCTCCTTCCGTTACCTCATCGGAGGCTCGTCCTAGGAAGAACTCGGCCAAAACCAAGGTGAGCAACCCGAGATGTGGTCTGAAGGGTGCCAGCATCTGATGCCTCTCAAGGCCAATAATCGCGTCGGCAATGCGAACCATGCGAACGTGACTCCGGGACGCACGACAGCCCAGTCTCGTCAACGGAAGGGTGGGAATGAGAGCCGTCAAAGCGCAGTACAGGAGAAAGGACTCACGGATAAGGATGTTGAAACACGGAGGGATGAGGTCGTAAGGTTGCAAAAGACGCAACAGCAGGTGCGTCAGCCTTCTCTAACTGTCGACACTGGTCACTATTGCTCACCATCCAATGGCAACATCTAGTACGTTGCAATCGAATCAGAGGACGTACCATCTGCCAAACCAAAGTCTCGCATTCGCCGCCCTCCGTCTGCAATCCCGCCAGAGAAGTCAAAATCTGCCGACAACCTCCCTGACTTCCTGCGTGATGTTTGGGACGAGACTATACTGCCCTCGCTTAAGGAGAAGTATGGGGCTGCAACGAAGTTGTGGGACATTGAACATGGGGCTCTCACCTTGCGCGACGAACTGCAGAACCTCATCGACCAGTTGTGCCCTCATGCCGAGTACGAGGTTGCCGCAAGCACGAAAGACTTGGTATATGAAGTCGTAAGTCAGCTGTGTCGCAGTTTTCGAAGTCGGACAGAGTGACTGATTAGTACCTGTCAGACTCGTTCGCGTCTATTCCACTGGCGGAAGCTATTCATGATCACAGCAAAGAAACTTGTGGATCCAGTTTTACGGAGCTTGCCGAATGTCGTCGCCCGTAAACGCTATGTTTCGGATGCACTCAAGTATGGTGGTGTTGCGTATTTCGATACACCCGATGGAGAGGTAAGTTGACTCGACTTCGGCAGTCCGTGTCTTATTCATTATCATGCGTTGACAGCCCGGGCATTCTCGATTCGTCCTGGAGACTTTTGCAACCCATTTGAACGGTATCAAGGGCTCAGTTGTTGCTTCAAGCTGTGGCCGGCCATACTCCGCTCTGGCGCTCACGTTTGCTGCTGTGAGTGTTCCTGTCTACATTGACTGCTATAAATTATATTCATCGCCTACAGGTGCAACGCGCGTTCATGTCTTGGGAGACAGGTGTCGATGCTGGCACACCGGACTGGTCTGGCGAGAGCATGAAGCCGCTGATCGAGAGTACATGGCGAACTAACATCGCAAACTACATCTCCCAACCTGGTGCGTTTGATCGCATCATCGCTGGCGCAGTGGACACCTTGGAGGCCGGCCTAGGCAAGAAACGCGGCACACACCACAAGATGCGCCATGATCCGAAAAACGAAGCGATCTCCCTCTTTCAGCCTACAGTTCCAGCAGCACGCGACAACTCGGAATCCTTCCAGTCGGACATCACCGGCCAGAATAGTGAGTACGAAGTGGACAATGATGAATACGGCACAGACGGCACCGGAAGAGACGAGACAGCTGATGGTCTCACCGAGTCGAGCGAGGGTGGCATGCTACTTACTGGCACGGAGGACTCGGAACAGGTCTATTATGAATACGAGCAGGAGCCTGAGGGTATGGATATGGAGGAGGGCAACTGGGATGAAGATGGTGCAGATGAGGAGGACAACTTCTGGAATGGTGAGGACTGATTCCAGGGTGTCGATGCGGTTATGAGGCAGCAGAGGTGGCCGCGGTGCGATGTGGATCCGGTAGAGCGATAGCATGAGGTGGGCAACGGACAGAGTCTATTCGATGTGCTCCGGGCCAATACGTATGCATTGTTCGTACACTACAGCATCTTTAATCCAGATTGCTACCTATTTTTCGATTTGTGACGTCTGACTTGCTAACTGTCTGACTGCTGCTGACGACTATGTGACGGCCCAGATCCTACAACTGGCACGATCTTGTGAAATCCGGCCAGTGTTGCTAACGTCGGATACGCTGAGGCAATCTGAAACTTGAGTTTCACATTGGATCACGGCCTGTCAGCAAATTCGCCGAAGTTCTGATGAAAGGATCGCTTCGAAGTCTGTCTGCGCGCGTTTGACCGGGCTGAGGAGTGTCGGTGTCGTCGAATGCGATGAGGCTGTTCAAGGAAGGTATCATGGCGATGCTCAGTGAAAAGTAGCTACGAGATCAATGTACTGGCAACGCACGAGAACATCATTGTCGTACGCTGATTCTCTCTCTCGTGAGCATAGTTGCTGTGCTTGCACAAACGCAGCACTCACCTTTCGAGCCGTTTTATATACACCTCAGCAGCATGATATCCTCTCCGGGATGCATGCTGTCGCACACTGGGATCTTCATGGCTCAATCGCACGACATGACTGCGTCGACTGGTATCGGATTCCCCCGGCAAACATGGTGCGAGTCGATGGTTAGACCTGGATAAGGATGGAACTGAGTCCGAGACCTTGATTCACGGACGCAGGAGAGCTGCTAGGTGACGAGGCAAGTAGGTGTGCGTGGGCGAGTCTTCCGCATTCACAGCTACGCGGCTGCGTCGTCGTCGCCCAATGTGCGAACTGGGCGTCGGGACTGTACAGCGCGGTCTTGTAGATCCGAGACTCACCGTTCCTTCCGGCCTACTTAGCGTGTGATCCAGCGAGATACCTGGGCAAAAGGCTCAGTCGGACCTTGTACTACATAGCAGTGATTCACTCGTGGATGTTCCACGACCCGGGCATGACATTGGATGCCCTCCGACAACGTAGAGTAGTCGGCTTTTCGCCGATGAGTCTGACTCACGAGTCCCCCTCACGCACCGGCCCATTCGTCGTCGATCGAGGGATCTGCAGGAAACACAGATCGAACAACAGACCGTACGAGGTCGGCGCGCAGAATCTGAGATTCGTCCGCAGAAAGCAGACATTCGATGCTAACATTCAGGGTCCAGGGCGGTCAAACATTCTACGGTCCCGAGAGCAGTGATGCATCTTCCATGACTGCACCCGCCCGCTCTGACCGTTCGCAGGTAAGCAGGGGTCGACGATCGGCATCGCCAAACAGACAAATTCCTAACGCTCACCATCAAGCGGCGCTGCTCGAGCCGGTAGTGAAGAAACCGTACGGAGAGAGTATGAGACAACCCCGTTAAACGTACAGCGTAAACACCCGGTCGGGGATTGAAGCCATGCTTCGTCCCGAGAGCGGATGCGAATAGCATTCTCGGCGAAACAGGCCTAGCCTGTCCGAGTGAGCATCAGCTCCCCAGACGTCGAGCATCGTGACCTGTCTGCACATGCACCAGGCCAGCGGTAGTGGGATTGCGCATGGGCCTTCTGTGTGCGATCAACAGTGGCTCACGAGCCAAGAATCACGAAATCTCGAGGTGAGTCGAAGACAGAATGAATATGCTGACGGCCTCATTCACACCTCGTCTCGACTCTTTCAAACTGTATCGGAGTCCGGACCAGTTGTGAATCGCACGATCCCCGTCGCGATCGACACGAGGTTGAGAATCGGAAGTGCCTGGTCTGTATCTTCTGTGCTCTCTGACCGTTGACGCGGTTGATGCGTTGACAGGAAGCAGAAATGAGCGGCCGAGATGCGGCTACGAGGACACACCGCGATGCTCCGCGATGTCTACTGCGCATTGAGCAACGCAGGACTCTCTGCGTCGAGCAGCTCGGAATTCAGACATGTGTTTGCACGATATATGTCCCCGTTACACGCAGGGCACAATGAATCTGCCCGCGGGGATAGGAATTGCTATTACAACAGAAAGGACATACCTGCAAGTGCCGTACGTCGCATTTCGCGTGCCTGTATGCTCCACGCTGCGGTACCGAGATTGCAAGCGGACCTTCGATGTGCGCGGACTTTCCTTTTGAAATCATCAGCAGCTCGTCGGCCAGCGAATGACAGAATCTCAGCTTGAACCCCGGTCGGAGTGAGGAGTCTCGTCTCGACTCTTTCGTTTTTGGCAAGCAGCGAGTAAACAACCGAGACAGTCGCGGGAAGCGAGCGTGGAAGTACCTGAGATTGAGCCCTACAGATGGCATCGGCCATCATGGCAAGTATACCATCGGGTCCGAGGTAATTGTAATGGCCCGTGAGACGGTGGCACTCGCTCAGCGAATCCGCCAGCGGTCCAGCAGCTATATCGACTTGTACATCCTTCCCAGTATTTGGGGCGGGTACTCACATCGATGTCACAGCAGACTTGGGGGCGGGAGGCGGTGGGATACCCGCTGGCCGCACTCGAGATCGCACGACGACGAAGTGCTCAGGGTCCCCCGATCGACGTGCAGAATGTGTAACACCATGTATACGGTGCAACCGAGTATTCGACGCACACGCACCATTCCGGGACGCACAAACACTGATTTCCCCTCGACAACCCTCGCCCTTGCCAGGAGAGCGTCGGAATCTGCATTGCGACCACACGGCCGGTACCGTGAGTCCTCCTTCTGACCTCTCGGGGTCGTATGCGTGGCGTGTGTCGAGAGGAAGCGTGCGCCTTCATAGGTGTGACAGGTGCATAGACTCACCGGGTTTATGACCACGATCAGTGCCCCTGCACTATGCGCTCCCCGGTCAACGAGCCATTCGATCGCAGCTAGTTTGACAGGATCTGTCGAGTTCAGAGGAAACGAGAGCGTGCGACGTAGAGCACGGGGAGTGTCTGTGAAGACCCGAGTCGGAAGCCCCGACTTCCAACTGCGCGCATACAGCCTGGCTGTCACAAAATGCGTAGAGCAGTAAGCACTTTAGCATACTAGTATCACGCGGTGCAGCGCAGGAACCGGGATGGAGAGCCAGCGAGCAGGAGAAGTTGGACGGCCCATTTGGAGTCCTCGTTGAACATCGCCGGCCTACAGAGTAAGTACTGTCCTTCGAGAACGCGGTAGGGGTTGTAGCCGGCTTGTCTAACCAGAGTAACGAGCCTAAGTTGATTGAAGTGCATAGTACAGATCCTGGAAGCATGGGTTGGAAGGTAGATCGAGCGCGAGTAAATGGATGAACGGGACAGAGCGTGATTGTGGCTGAAGGCAATTCGCGTGACGCGCGATCGGACTTCGACGTCAGGCTTCCTCTCTTACTGTCTGCGAAGCTGGCCCAGAACATGTGCGATCCTCTCTGGCACTCTTCGTCCACCATCCACTTCCTTCTCATGTCTTCATTCGACGAATGATACATCCTTCCCAATGTGTAATGATTCGTACTTGACTGCCAACATTCGACTCCGCTGTGTATGTCGACCCTGACCTGCAGTACCGTGAACAGCACCGGTCAGGTGCAAGGGAAACATGCGTGAGTCTCTCTCAATCCCAATTTGTTGACGCTCTAGGACACGACAAGCGAAGCATACGACAAGACAGTATTGTGCGCGAACCTACTACGTACCATGACCGTCTGGAACACCTCTCCTCCTCGACTGCCGAGAAACCTGCCGTGGAACACGTCTTCAGCAAGATCGAGGACGACCTCCAGGAACGCGGGCTTACCTGCTCCCAGCGCCGTGCATTCCGACGATGACGACGACGGCTGCTCGACACCGCGCTAGTGGACCCTGTGCCGAGTGACACGTTCACTGTATGCGGTCAATGTATGGTTAGTACTCTGACGACTCCTCGCCGCGGGGAGAAGTACAACTCACCAACACGCATTAATTCCCGCATCGCTTGTCTCTATATACCCGCAATGCTCTTCGGCTTAGTAGCAACGGCCAAGTTGCCGTCACCTTCCCTGGCGATGTCCGCGGAAGCGAACATAGCGTCACATCTGGCATGGACGTCAGCCACGTATGTCCGAACTTCGTTACGCCACAATGTTGCCACAATGTGCAAATTGCACCACTCGCTCGGGTATGTGATCTGCGAACATTTCCTGGGCGTAAGAGGGCGTAAGGAGTAGGGATCGTGTACCGTCATCTCGGACGCGGCTGCTACTCCTGGCATCCAGCATACAGGTCAATGCTTTCGACGATCAAATCGCCATGTTACGCACGCACACGGATCAGTGAAGCACCCCAATTGGGAATACTGTCCCCTCCATGTCTTCAGGAATACAATACTGCGGCTTACTCGCTTCCGGCCTATGCGGAGCCTCCAATTTGGGTGCACCTGCTTCCAGATGTGCTCCTTCCGAGCAGCCTATGTTTTGTGATGTCGATCCAACCCGCTGTCGACGTGATTTCAGCACGCGTCTGGCTAAAATAGCCATCAATTCCGGACCAATTGTCCAGAATTTCTCAGTGATTGCTCGGGATTGTCATCAATTCGATGAGGCGGCAATGAGCAAGACGAGTGATGTCTCGTCGGGAATGCGACAGCAGGGCCGAGAACTCTGCGAAGCTGACCACCAATTCAATGATCATGCTTGTGCAAATGACCAGTGGCACTTCGGTGAACAACTGGTACACCTTGTGTACTACTGTAGGTGGAGATCAAGCACATAGTGTTGCAAAGAATGAATACATCTCAGCTCTACTACCCTCGACGTGCATACGAGGCTAACATCAAGGCTCGAGTGCACCAAATCGTCTCCGCCCACATCAAGATGGTGTACCTGAGCCATGCTCAAGATCTATGAACAACAGCATTCAACACAGGGGGCATATGTACTCGTATCCCTCTGCATTTGAGCGTGAACATCGAGACAAGGAGAACAGATCTAAATCTGGCAAGGCCGACAAGAAGATCAAGTAAAATTGTGTACGGAGGGGATTGCCGTATTGGGGTGGCTACCGTCCTATGTCCTGCTTCCACGAACTGAGTTGATCGGCTCAACCGTGATCTGTGACAGAGTAACAGTGAGTAATCTATTCATTCAATCTGTGACTGACAAGAACTCGATGGGCTTACTGTGGCACGAGTACCTGCCCATCAAATTCTGAGACTGTTATGGAAGGTCAGCTATATCGGGCAAGCACCATTCACCGACAACAAGGGTGGCGAATTCGGCTCGGTAGGTAGGCAACTGAGAGGATGTCAGCACGAGATCGATGACAGTACATACTATGAACTCAAAGTGATCAGTATCCTCAAACCATTTCAGCCTCTGAGTCACAGATTGAGACTATTCCCTGAATATTCTCAGTTGGAATTCATACAGTGAGCCTGACGAGAGTTCAGTACTGACTGTGAGCACACGAGAGGAATGACATTTCATTTCAGAGGAAGCCCGCCGGCCGAGGAATGATTAGCTGATAGGACAGAATTTCGCATCCGAGGAGATGCTCCGAGTCAGTGGCACTGATATGCAATTGTGGCACAGTTAAGGCGAGCATCACGGTGAGTGGATTTTGTGCACATTACTGACATTCCACACGTGATTTGGGCATCAAGTATGTAGGAGCCGAGCAAGGCTGACTGAACTTCAAGTTATCAGTTAAAGGCCAGTAGGAGAGCGGACGTACCACTCCCGGCCCCCACTATGCTTCTCCTCTCACTCGCATGTGTCGATCACCCAGTACGTGTATGCATCAACTGTCTTCACCCGGCGTTCACTCACCACGGACACTCTCAGATCATCCTGATAATCTCCAGTGGCGGCCCCGGCGCAAGCTTCATCCAACAACTCAATCATACATATGGTCAGTATATCCCTCCCTTGTTATCGTGGTTGTACTTGTACTCACTGTTCTCGTTATTCCAGACAGTTGCCGAGTGAACGGTTACGTCGGGAGCAATCGCAGTGCGTAAGTGCGGGCACGAAATGCGCTGACTGTGAGTACCTTCCCGATATAGCAGTGGTCCACTAGATCAGGCGCTCATTGTCTCGTAGACACACCGGGTTGGTCGTGCCTCACGCTGCGCTGGCCTCACACGCGTCGGGAATCCAAGTCGACTTGGAGCTGGACGTATGTATGGTACGACGTCCGGCGAACACATTCCCAGTCAGATACTGTCTTACCCGGTCTGTCATTCCGCGGGATGGCAATGTATATACAGAACGCCGTCCGCCGAGCGATGTACCACGCCCACCATGCGGAAGGTCCGTAGTGAATCTCAATGATCTACGGCAATGCGCTGACGTAGTATGCTGTCCAGTATAGAACGCGCGAGGGCTCTTCTGTTCCAGTCCAGGCTTCTGTCCACGTCAACCGATCCAGGCTCCGGTCGCTGCGATGTATATGTGTATTGACTTTCGGCGATTGACATCTCAGGCCAAGGACAAGGTGCGACATCGACCAAGGTCTTGCGGTGCTCGGAACTACAATATATATATGGATCGACGTCCGGCGAGCGATGTCTTGGTGCGTCTACACTTGTGCCTCGTCCATACTATGGCTGATGTGATGTGTATGACAGGCTGGATGTCGTGTCCGTGTCCGCGCTCACGCAGCGCGCGAGCCACGAGCGTTTCCGTAGGCTCTTTGGGTGGGTTGAGTGTGTCAGACTCGCCGTGAACGTCGATGTATATACAGATCGACGTCCGGCGAGCGACGTCTGAGGCCAGGTGCGAGGTGCGTTGTCGTTCCGACATTGGTGTCCGTGTCGTTGACGTGACCTTCACAACAGGTCGGTGTCTACCGAGTTCGTGAGCAACAAGTCCTTCGTACCTTCAAGGACATTGAGCTCAAGGGCAATGAACAGTAGGTATAGGTACTCACCACTGCGCCTCGTGAAGGCCGGAACAGCAAAGTATGTATGCATCGACGTCCGGCGATCAACGTCTCGGGGCATGTACGGGGTGCATCGTCGATTAACCCTCGATGCTGACTTTGTGGTGCCCGGAACGGCGATGTATGTACATATTGACGTCCGACGAGCGACATCACGGGCTGTGCGCGAGGTATGTTGCCCATCACACACCGACACTACATCACTAACCCGACTCGGACGTGTCGTGTCGCCGCTGACATGCGCGTGCAGGATCGGGCCACACGGCGCACGAGCGCTGCCCTCCGTCGCTGCGAATGTCCACCGAGTTGTCGGCTCGTCGTGAACGTTGATGTATGTACAGATCGCCGTCCGACAAGCGGGCGATCGTGAGCGGTGAGCAGTCAGTCTTTTTCTCCTGGTTGGCCGACACTGACTTGGCGAGTATCCTAGGACGACTTTGCGCGACGGCAGTGTCCCGCGTCAGGTCGGGTGTAGCACTCAAGACGCGACAGCGGGCATCCGTCTACCGTTTACTGTTCGCGTCCCGCAGGCGGACGAGTTTGCGTTGTCTGGTGAGTTGCCTGCCGTGCATTTTTGCGTCAAGTGAATGGACATTGAACTCGTCGTGAACGGCGATGTGTGTATAGATCAGCGTCAGGCGACTTACTTCGAATGGTAAGCCCGAGCCAAGACACGTCGGCGAAGGCCCATCGCTCGCAACGGCCATCAGACTGCGTAGAGTCACAGGCCGCCGACTGGTACGTGCGATGTGCCTCGCAGTCGCTGAGTTGGTGAGTCCCTCATCGCGCATTGGCATGCGGCGTTTGCTGACAAATCGAGCAGACCGGGTCCGTGCGTCGCGACTACTTCGGGGTTTGACTGTATGTATGTACACGCGGGCGACGAGGGACACATAGGGGGAGGGGCTACGCGTTGCAGCGCGCGAGGCGGAGAGAGGGGGCTTCTTTTTTTTGTTGACGAGCATGTACATACCGGGACCCGTTTGCGCGTGGCGTGAAAAAGTTGTGAGACCGGATAACACGCGAGCTCCCTGCGGGGAGGGGAAGCTATGGCCGAAAAATCGACGTTTTGGACTTGGGAAAACCGTCGTCTTTTTGCCCTCCAGCCAATCGCAGGCCCCGCACGTAAAACACCCACGCCCGCCGTGCGACGATCCCCGCCCGCTGCCCACGCCGCACTCCCACGCGCTTTTCCCACGAGCGACCGACGTCAGCGCCCCCGATGACGACGATGTGCATCCGTCCGACCACCAGCTCACTCCCCCGTGTCCGACCGCACTGAGCATGCATGACGCCGCATTGATGGCGGCCTGTCCATTCCGTTTCTCTCTCCTGCTCTCTCCCCGTCCTCCACACTCGCCCTTGTCGCCATGGACCAATGGACGACGCTCCAGGCTGGACTCTCCGGCCTCAACATCGGCCAGTCCGCCAACAAGTTCGCAAAGGGCTTCAACACCACCGTCCAGGCGACCAAGGAGCGCATGGGCCAGGTCGCTGCGGACGACATCACCGAGCTCCCGCAAGGTCACCAGCATCTCGCCAGTTCGCGCACACCGATCGCTGATTCCACCTTGCACCCACAGAGTACAAAGACCTCGAGGCGCGGGTCGACAACCTCCGCCAAATCCACTACGCGCTGCTGAAGTACGTCCGTTCCGCGCGCCGCGCTCCTTCCACCAACACATGACCTGCCACACAGAGTAACGAAGGTCTACGAGAACGAGACGTACGACTACCCCACCCAGATCCAGGAGAGCATCACCGAGCTCGGGACGTCCATCGGCCAGGGGCTCACCAACTTCGCCGCCCACAACCTCAAGGGCGTGCCCGTCGCCGCCCCCGCCCCCGTCACGCCCCCCGCCGCACAGCACAATGTTGAACTTCCGACTTTCCAGTGT